TTTATTAAATGATAACCCTGCTGAGGCAGTTTAAAGTTACACTTAGACTGCTCATATGCAGTTAGATATTAATTGAGTCTTCATGGACTAGTACAACAATTTTGAGGACGTTTGGCGTCTACTAAAGAGGGTACCTACTGACTCTTGTACAGATATGTGTACGTTAGTGATTTGACCAGGGGCTTGTATCTACCCTACAAATTTTTGCCAATAAAAAAAGTGTGTGCGTGCGTTGCGGATTTTTAAGTATTGCTACTTAAAAATACATATATTTTAAAAGGGAGGTACGAATATTGAATTATAATTGTTCGTAAACATTTTCACTAATAATTTAAAATAAAATATTCTATTATATTCATAGTCATATTTTTAAACATTTAAACATTTTATCACTATAGGCACAATGTAAATGTTTAATAAATTAACAATTGTCTTAGTATTTAGTGCAATGTGTAATGTGCATTGCTCGTGATCATGTGGCAACCCCACGTCGTGCTGTCATTGGATATAATTTCTTTTTTTAATTTATATATAGTTTTAAAATAAATTCTTACTTTTAATCTTTTTCATTTCACGTATTGGATATCAAATGTTTGTATTTTGTATATCGGATCATAGTTGCACGCTAGAGCTTACTCGCGACAGCCGTTTGTTGGTATTTTGGTGGTTATTAAACTATAATACTGCTTTTTTAATGCAGATTACTCGCATTAACAACAAAATATGTGGGGAGAGGGGATTGTTAGTAATAGGAATTAGTAGCCCCACTGCTAGCAATATACCTTGTCAGGTCGACCTCCTCGTGATTCTTCCTGGAAACAATCGTGATTTATTTATTGTTAGATTCGTCACAGTGGGCTAACTTTAACTTAACTGACTTGTCTTTTCATGCTCGCCTATGATTCTCATTGGTGCCCCGCCAGCGTATATAGATAGCGCAGATGGGGTTACCATTCCATTATCATTCATTAAAAAAAAAACAAATAAATGTACTATACAGATATCAGCCATATCCATTCCTAAACTTGGAAAAACAAATATTGAGCGGTATGGTCGTTTTAACTTTTATATTGTCATTTAAATAAATTTTTATATTGTCATAAAGTTTTATATCAATTTTTTAATAACATGTTTCTTTTTATCAATGAACAAAGTTTTTTTATGAGTGAGAATGGAACGGTAACCCCACCCGCGCAATCAGTATACACCGGCGGGGCACCAGTGAGGGATGGTAGGTGAGGATGAAGCAGGTCAGTTAGCCCATCGTGACGAATTCCATGAGAAATAACCACAATGGTTTCCAGGGGGAACTGCGTGGAAGTCGACCTGATAGGGTATATTGCTAGCAATGGAGCTGTTAAAGCCCATTACTAACAATTCCAAGAGAAAAAAGATTTCAGACAGATGGACAGACAACAAAGTGATCCTATAAGAATAAATAATCTTTGTACACATATACAAGCATAGTATATATTTTTACAGGTTTTTATTTAATTTGCTTTGTATATATCCTTTCTACATTTTTATTCCACTTTCAAACATTTTCCTTTCTTGAAGGTTATGATATTGTATCGGTTTGGAAATACTGCTGCTGGAAGTTGATTCCAAAGAGTGGTTGTGTTTGAACTGAAATGAAATATTGTAAATTGTCACTACAACTTTGAACATGAATGGACGTTATCATTCCTACGAAGAGTTCACAATATTACTGGTCCTTCTATCGAACGATTGGCAACCCGGCATTAGTGCCCCAGGGGTCCCTGTGTCACACTATTTAGGGTTATCATTTCATCCTACTACTTCTCACAACTCTGTCAGTGATCTCCAAGAATTACGTAGAAGGAACCTAAGAACATGGGATTACATAGAAGGAATAGTATATTGAATAGTCGCCTATAGACATGATCGGTACCATGGATATAACAGAGTATACCTACTGTTTCGCCCATGATACTCCTGATGCGTTGCCATTCCTGAGAACTCAGGTGTTATTCCTCTGTACCTTGTAAATTTACGCCATATCTCATCCGTCAAACCGAAATACAGCCATGCAAACACAACTGTTTCACGGTTGAAACACGAATGGGACAGAGGTATCCACGCAAACGTCTTTTGTACAAAGTTTCCCTCTGGTAAAATACAAATAAAACAACATATCTCGCTTTCCATAAACCTGCTGCATCTGCTCCTAAACAACTTCATACTTTACCTATTCATCCCTGTAAGTAAATAAAGCAGGTTAACAACATGATGCCATTTAAAGGGTTCTGTGACTGGAAAACGGCTGAGAGAACAAATTCAGTAAAATATTTAGGAATATTGATAGATGAAAACCTTTCTATTGAAACACAACTGTCCTGCCTATCAGCACGACTTAAACGATCTACTCCTCTCGATATTTGTACACATTGTATCAAAATTTATTAAATTCATATCTAACAATAGAATTATACTTTAAGAATGATAAATGGTGTATCATTGTTTAATATAGGTATTGACGATATAGAGTAATATGTCAAATAATGTCTAATATAGAAGAAGTCTGCTCGACCGTGTATCATACACGTGGACGAGTTGTAATAAAATAAGATTCAAATTCAAACCTTGTATTATAACAGCTCCATTGCTAGCAATATACTGTATCAGATCGACTTCCGCGCGGTTTCCCCTGGAGACCATCGTGGTTATTTCTCATGGAATTCTTCATGATGGGCTAACTGACTTGCTTTCATCCTCACCAATCATCCCTCACTGGTGTCCCACCAGTGCATACTAATAGCGCAGGTGGGGTTATCATTTCAATTTCACCCATTAAAAAAGTCATTTTTTTAGGAACGTTACAAACGCACGACTAAATTGGCGTTTACATTCTTCGAAAAAATACAAATAATATAAGGCGTAAATGGATTTTTATTCATTAATTATTACATGGATTAATAAATAAATATACAGATAGACTGTACAATTCATATTATATAATAATAAATAGATCAAAACTTTGTTACATTATACACACATCTACGTATTATGTACAATGACATCTGTTGCTTTACACAATATATACCATATAATCACGTGATATGTCAAACATAACGCTTGCAACTTAAGGTATATGACAGTAATAAAACACCCCTGGATGTTGTATACATTACCGAACATAATATGACGTTTGAGAACATCGAATTATTAAAAATGCCGAATTTCAAATTAGCTGCAAGTTTTCCAGGTATAATAGAAAAAGATCATGTGTCGTATGTCCATAGGAATCAAAAATATAAAAATATACATTTGTAAATCAATGTAATCGCAACGGAGTGTTTGAATGTAGTGCTAAAGATATGACAGAACATAATATAATTATAATATATATCTAACAGACCCACGAAAATGAAAATCAATCTTATTAATACATTTTTCTTTAAAATAGTTAAAAACTGTAATAAATAATATTAACTTCTTAGAAACTACATTAAACACTCATTTGTTACGGTATTTAAAAATGACAACCCAGAAAAAGCATACAATGCTTTTAGGGATGATTTGAAGTTACTATATGTTCTTTGTTTTCCAATAAAAAAAAAAATTACAATCTGTCATCGAGCAAAATGACGCACTAAGGGCCTAAAAAGATACAAAAACTAAACTCTTATACAGGTATATACGTAAAGAAATTGAAAAATATTATTTTACTGATTACACTGAAAGATTAAAAAAGATTATAAAATCGACAAACAAATCAAAAGCGGTATGGAATAACATCAACAGTGTAAACAACAAATCAAACTAAATGTTTCTGTAATCAATCCGATATTTAAAAAGAATGATAGAGAAAAATCCAATTATAATAGAATAGAATAGAATAGAAAAGAATAGAATAGAATAGCAGATTAAAATAGAATACTTTACATAATTTTATAGACCTATTACACTAATACAAGTTATATTAAAAAAATTTAAAAGATTTATGATTTCTTAGAGAAAATTGAAATACTTTTAGATGAATAATTTGGATTTAGAAAGAAAAAGTCAGTGAATTTAGCCATCTAGAAACTCTTAGAAAAAAATATGAGTGAACCATATAATAAAAAGAGTACAACGGCGTTATTTATGACTATGACTAGAGCCTTCGATCATGTATCCTTGTTGAAAAATTAGAGATTAGAGAGATATATGGGATCAAAGGAAATGTACTTAACCTTAACTTAAAATCATATTTACAAGGTAGGAAACAGTTCACAGAAATAACTAGAATAGAAACGAATATCAGTTGGAACAGAGAACTGTAAAGTATGAGGTACCTCTAAAAAGTATATTAGGGTCATTATTGTTTCCAATTAACATTAACGATCTACCTAATACTATTACTCCTTCAATGATTCTATACGCTGACGACAGCACAGCAATTTTTACCAATGACGATCCCAACTTTTACGAAGAGGATATAAATAACTCATTAAAAGACATATTCTCGTAACTAGAAGCTAATAACCTAAAGATGAACGTAGATAAAATTAATTTTATGACATTTAAAAACAAAATTCTGAATAATATAAATATGGCGGGAAAATTAAGGAAACTCGTTGTGTTAACTTTTTAGGTATCCATATTGACGCTGATATGACTTGTAAAACACAGATTGATCACATTTGTACAAAAGTAAATCAGCACTTCTATGCACTTTACTTGTTACGAAAAGTCGCTAATCAATTTGTACTTCTAAGCGCTTACCATGCGTTTGCAGGCTCAACACTCAAGTACGGAATTCTTTATTAGGGAAATTTCTAGGGTAGGGGAAAAGCCTTTATAAAGAGTAAAAAGGAGCAAGCCATATTATAAGAAATAAAAATTTTTGACATTTCCCTCACTTTACAGATTACAAAAGATTTTGTCATATTATTCGAGTCACAAAGACTTTAAAAATCTAATAATATACGATCTGTAATACACATATTTAAATAGATAAATTATTATTATTATTATTGTTATTTGTGCCTCTGAACTTTATCTTGTCTTACAAATACTTACACCTACATGAATTATACATTTAATACGGCTTATCACCAGTATGTATCAACATATGCCGTTGCAGATTTGATCTTTGGTTAAAACATTTACTACATACATCACAACTATATGGCTTCTCACCATTATGTATCAACAAATGCTTTTTCAATGTTGCTTTTCTGTTAAAACACTTACTACATACATTACAACTATATGGCTTATCACCAGTATGTATCAACAAATGCTTTTTCAATGTTGATTTTATGTTAAAACATTTGTTACATACATCACAATTATATGGCTTCTTTCCACTATGTGTCGACAAATGCTGTTGCAGAGTTGATTTTCTATTAAAACATTTGCTACATACATTACAACTATATGGCTTTTCACCAGTATGTATCAACAAATGCTTTTGCAATGTTGATTTTCTGTTAAAATTTTTGCTACATACATCACAACCATATGGCTTCTTTCCACTATGTGTCGACAAATGCTCTTGCAGAGTTGATTTTCTATTAAAACATTTGCTACATACATTACAACTATATGGCTTCTTACCACTATGTGTCAACAAATGGTATTTCAATCTTGATTTTCTATTAAAACATTTACTACATACATCACAACTAAATGGTTTCTCTCCACTATGTGTCAAAAAATGCACTTGCAGTGTTGATTTTCTATTAAAACATTTACTACATACATCACAACTAAATGGCTTCTTACCACTATGTGTCGACAAATGCTGTCGCAAATATGATTTTATCTTAAAACATTTACTACATACATCACAACTAAATGGTTTCTTTCCACTATGTGTCGACAAATGCACTTGCAGTGTTGATTTTGTATTAAAACATTTACTACATACATCACAACTATATGGCTTATCACCTGTATGTGTCAACAAATGGTATTTCAATGATGATTTTCTGTTAAAACATTTACTACATATACCACAACTAATAGGTTTCTTTCCACTATGTGTCGATAAATGCACTTGCAATGTTGATTTTGTATTAAAACATTTACTACATACATCACAACTATATGATTTCTTTTCACTATGTGTCGACAAATGCTGTTGCAGAGTTGATTTTCTATTAAAACACTTATTACATACATCACAATTATAAGGTTTCCCACCAACATGTATCAACATATGCCGATACAATGTTGATTTATGGTTAAAACATTTACTACATACATCACAACTATATGGCTTCTTACCACTATGTGTCGTCAAATGCTGTTGCAGTGTTGCTTTTCTTTTAAAACACTTATTACATACATTACAACTATATGGCTTCTTACCACTATGTGTCGTCAAATGCTGTTGCAGTGTTGCTTTTGTATTAAAACACTTATTACATACATTACAACTATACGGCTTCTTACCATTATGTATCCACAAATGCTGTTGCAGTGTTGATTTTCTATTAAAACACTTATTACATACATCACAACTATATGGCTTCTCACCAGTATGTATAATAAAATGCCGTTGCAATGCTGATTTATGGTTAAAACATTTACTACATACATCACAAGTGTATGGCTTTACATTAGACGAATATATTTCCTGTTTATTATGGACTGACATATGGCATTCCAGTGTATTGTAGGAGTTGAATGTCTCACTGCATACCTCACATGAATAAACTGTATCACATGATATTCTTCTCCTCTGGTGCTCAGATTCAAATACATTACGCTCCTCATCTTCATTATGTGGAACTCGTTCAGAATCAGGTGTTGAATGTTCAGTGCTTCGAAAGGTGGTCCCTCCTTGTACAACTGTAGGTTCTGTTTCGGCCTCTTTCTCCTTTACATAAGCCTCATAGAAATTCAAGAGCTCATTTGTCTCATTATCAACTACCACTCCGACTATGCCATGCTGAAACTCATCTTGTTCAATCAACGGTTCCTGTGTGGCATTCATAACATTGAAGTAGTCTGGACGCTCTTCATGATGTGGAGTCACCTGCTGTTGGGTGTTGTCGGAGACATGCAAATTCTCATCTTGTGTAGCCATATTTGATCTGCCATGCGCTGTGGACACTGCGAATACATATGACCTGTACCTCTGTGGTCAGGGTACCCACTAAACGTGTTGTGACATCATTAAAACACAGTGGTTATCAGGTCTTGACGTAGTCCTAGTGGGATAGTTCTGAGGTCGCCTCGTGTTTACTATAGAGGGTACACACTGAAAGTTTGCTGGAAATTTACGTCTCTAGTACGAGTCTCTTATACAAGGTACTGCAACAAGTGGTTGTAAAAATAACAACCGATTGTCAGAGAAGGAATATAAAAGAGAATAGGTAGACTGCGGCAGATTTAAGTCTACGAATAATATGTATCGGTCTAGTAGCCGGTATTACCTTTGTTATTATCGAGTCGAAGAAATAAAGCACACACAAAATGCACAAGGAATAAACAGTACAATATGTCGAAAAAGTCAGCAGTGTAGTAAGATTAGAGAAGCTGTGACTATGTCTAAAGACGAAATCTTTAGTCTAAGGACAGGTAGGAAACTCTTGTACAGATATGTGTACGTAAGTGAATTGACAAGGAGTTTGTATCTACCCTACAGAATTTTTGGCAATGATACAAAAGCACGTGTGTGCGTTGCGGATTTTTTAATATTGCTACTTAAAAATACATATAAAGTAAAAGGGAGGTACAAATATTGAATTATAATTGTTAGTAAAATAGATTTACTAATAAAAAAAAATGCTACTGTTTAAAAAATATTTATAATCATATTTTTTAAACATTTCATCACTATTTTGATATATGAACAAGTTTATTATTAATAAAATAACAATATTCTTAGAATTTAGTGCATGGCTCATTATTATCTGGCAACCTCACGCCCTGCTGTCACTGAATAGAATTTTTTTTTACATTACATATACTTTTAATTTTTTTTTCCATTTTAATAAATTTTATTACTTGTGTTTATTTATTGTATTCGAAAATAAAAAATGTGATAAGATTTTTTATTTTGTATATCGAATTATTGTTGTTACGCTAGAGTTTACTCGCGACAACCGTTTGTTGGTATTTTGATGGATATTAGACCATAGTACTATAATGCAGATTACTCGCATCAACAACAAAATGTACTTATACAGTTATCAGCCATATGCATTCCTAAACTTGGAAAAACAAATATTGAACGGTATGGTCGTTTTAACGTATAATTAATAGGTATTTATTACATAAATTTAAATTTTTATATTGTCATAAATTTTATATAATTTTTTTAATAACATGGTTCTTTTTTTTAATAGACAAAGTATTGTGTTTACTCTTACATTTACTTTAAGGTGTTTTAAATAGATACATAGGCTGCAATAATCGAAATACATGTTTTAAAATTGAGTTGGTTATAAAGGATTATGTTGGTGTTGACATGTGTAAAAAAAGAAATGGATAATTACAAACAACGCCAATAACATTTTATTTTTTGGAAAATCAGTAATTTCAGACAAATAAATATTGTGTGCTGTCATAATTAAAGAAGAATGGATTTTTTGTAATATCCAATTATTGATAGTTGATATTTTTCTGATAAAAAGTAATGTATCTAATATATATTATACAATTATGTTGTCTTTCAGGTATTGCATGAAAGTTGAAAGACGGGATTGATTCCAACAGCAACAGTATGTGACTAATCAAGAGACAGCATAAAAGCTCTAGATATCCTCGGTGTCGTGAAGAAGACAAATTTCAACTCAGTGATAATGATAAAATTAAAAATATTTTTTATAAACAGATGTGCATTCCAGCGAGTGTTCTACTGTAGATCTAGAACTACTAACTACTAACGCAACGGCTGCGATAGAGCAGGCGTCTGATGAAGTTCAGACATGACCATATGTCTGTGGGTTTATATGTAAATGTTTCTAATAATATAATGAGATACACAGAACTCAAAATTATGTAAACACACATTTCATGCATTGTGTAGAGGTATACTCTTTGGCATTGAATAAAATATTAAATGGGAAAGATTGAGGAAAGGAGTTTAAAAATAATGTATTGTCTAATCTTTCTCAAGTGGACTTGGATTTTTTATTAAAGTGTCCACACTGTTATAGAGAAAATAAAACTTATGTAATGGTTTCAACTTTTCACATTTGTATGAAAAATGTGTTTGTAGTAAAAACAGTGTTTAATGAATGAATTGCATAATGAGGGTTCCATACAAATTAATTTGTTTTTTTTTTTTGTGAAATATGCACAAATTTACAATTTTTGAATTTTTTTCTTTACTTGTGTTACATGACCTTGCTTCTTGCCAAATTTCATGATTATAGGTCAATAGATTTTGTTTCACTTTGTGAATGTCAAAATATACAATATAAATGGAACACAAACAGCCATATCTTTCGATTGGGTCGATTTAGAATCTTAATTTTTTCACTGATTTAAGAGATTGCAGATCTAAGTATATGATACTAATCTTAACTTGATTTCTCCATGTGTTCATATGAAAAAGGTTTTTTTAATGGGTGAAAATGGAATCATAATCTCGCCTGCGCTATCAGTATACACTGGCGGTGCACTAGTGAGATGTGATTGGTGAGGATGAAAGCGGGTCAGTTAGCCCATCATGAAGAATTCCATGAGAAATAACCACAGTGGTTTCCAGGGGGAACCGCGTGGAGGTCGAGCTGATAACTCTATCAGGTCTATTTTAGGAACGTTACAAACACACGACAAAATTGGCGTTTATATTCTTCGAAAAAATACAAAAAATATGAGGCGAAAATAGATTTTTTTCAAAAGCGGTATGGAATAACATCAACAGTGTAAACAACAAATCAAACTAAATGTTTCTGTAATCAATCCGATATTTAAAAAGAACGATAGAGCATAATCCAATTAGAATAGAATAGAATAGAATAGAATAGCAGAAAAAAATAGAATACTTTACATAATTCTATAGACCTATTACACTAATACAAGTTATATAAAAAAAAAATTTAAACAGTTATTTACAAGTCCATATATAATTTCTTCGAGAAAACAAATACATACAATAAATTTAGCCATCTATAAACTCTTAGAAAAAAATATGAGTGATCCAGATAATAAAAAGAGTACAACTGCGTTATTTATGACTATGACTAGAGCTTTCGATCATGTAGACCATGATATCCTTGTTGAAGGAAGGAATCAATTAGAGATATATGGGATCAGAGGAAATTTACTTAATCTAGTAAAATCATATTTACAAGGTAGGAAACAAATCACAGAAATGACTAGAATAGAAACGAATATCAGTTGGAAAAGAGAACTGTAAAGTGTAAGGTACCTCTAAGTAGTATATTAGGGTAATTATATTTCCAATTAATATTAACGATCTACCTAATACTATTACTCCTTCAATGGTTCTATACGCTGACGACAGCACAGCAATTTTTACCAATGACGATCCCAACTTCTACGAAGAGGATATAAATAACTCATTAAAAGACATATTCTCGTGACTAGAAGCTAATAACCTAAAGATGAACATAGATAAAATTAATTTTATGACATTTAAAAAACAAAAACAAAATTCTAAATATAATAAATATTAATAATAATAATAATTTTCTATAATCAATTATAATTAATGCATTGTAATACATAAGTCTACAATAATGACAGTGTACTAGTATTTATATTAAAAGAAGATTTAGAGATTTCAACAATCTAATAATGTACGATCTGTAATACGCGTATTTGAATAGATAAATTGGTATTATTATTATTGCTGTTTGTACCCCTGAACTTTATCTTGTCTTACAAATACTTACACCTACATGAATTATACATTTAATACGTCTTATCACCAGTATGTATCAATAAATGCCGTTGTAATGTTGATTTTTTGCTAAAACATTTACTACATACATCACAACTAAATGGCTTATCACCAATATGTATCAACAAATGCTCTTGCAATGTTGACTTTCTATTAAAACATTTACTACATATATCACAACTATATGCCTTGTCGCCAGTATGTATAATCAAATGTCGTTGCAATGTTGATTTTCTGTTAAAATATTTATTACATACATCACAACTATATGGCTTATCACCAGTGTGTATCAACAAATGCTGTGTCAAATTTGCTTTTTGACTAAAACATTTATTACATACATCACAACTATGTGGCTTATCACTAGTATGTATCAACAAATGTTCTTGCAATGTTGATTTTCTATTAAAACATTTATTACATACATCACAACTATATGGCTTCTCACCAGTATGTATCAATAAATGCCGTTTCAATGTTGATGAATCACTAAAACATTTACTACATACATCACAACTATATGGCTTCTCACCAGTATGTTTCAACAAATGACGTTGCAAAGTTAATTTTAGTTTAAAACATTTATTACATACATTACAACTATAGGGCTTCTCACCAGTATGTATCAACAAATGCCGTTGCAATGTTGATGAATCACTAAAACGTTTACTACATACATCACAACTATATGGCTTATCACCATTATGTATAATCAAATGCCGTTGCAATGTTGATTTTCTGTTAAAACATTTACTACATACATCACAACTATATGGCTTCTCACCAGTATGTATCAACAAATGCTTTTTCAATGTTGATGAATCACTAAAACATTTACTGCATACATCACAACTATATGGCTTCTCACCAGTATGTATCAATAAATGTCGTTGCAATGTTGACGAATCACTAAAACATTTACTACATACATCACAACTATATGGCTTCTCACCAGTATGTTTCAACAAATGACGTTGCAATGTTAATTTTACTTTAAAACATTTATTACATACATTACAACTATATGGCTTCTCACAAGTATGTATCAACAAATGTCGTTGCAATGTTGATGAATCACTAAAACGTTTACTACATACATCACAACTATATGGCTTATCACCATTATGTATAATCAAATGCCGTTGCAATGTTGATTTTCTGTTAAAACATTTACTACATACATCACAACTATATGGCTTCTCACCAGTATGTATCAACAAATGCTTTTTCAATGTTGATGAATCACTAAAACATTTACTGCATACATCACAACTATATGGCTTCTCACCAGTATGTATCAATAAATGTCGTTGCAATGTTGACGAATCACTAAAACATTTACTACATACATCACAACTATATGGCTTCTCACCAGTATGTTTCAACAAATGACGTTGCAATATTAATTTTACTTTAAAACATTTATTACATACATTACAACTATATGGCTTCTCACCAGTATGTATCAACAAATGTCGTTGCAATGTTGATGAATCACTAAAACGTTTACTACATACATCACATCTATATGGCTTATCACCATTATGTATAATCAAATGCCGTTGCAATGTTGATTTTCTGTTAAAACATTTACTACATACATCACAACTATATGGCTTCTCACCAGTATGTATCAACAAATGACGTTGCAATGTTGATGAATCACTAAAACGTTTACTGCATACATCACAACTATATGGCTTCTCACCAGTATGTATCAACAAATGGCGTTGCAATGTTGTTGAATCACTAAAATATTTACTACATACATTACAACTATATGGCTTCTCACCAGTATGTATCAACAAATGACGTTGCAAATTAAATTTTAGTTTAAAACATTTATTACATACGTCACAACTATATGGCTTCTCACCAGTATGTATCAACAAATGCCGTTGCAATGTTGATGAATCACTAAAATATTTACTACATACATCACAACTATATGGCTTCTCACCAGTATGTATTAACAAATGACGTTGTAAATTAAATTTTAGTTTAAAACATTTACTACATACATCACAAGTGTATGGCTTCTCATTAGACGAATATATTTCCTGTTTATTATGGACTGACATATGGCATTCCAGTGTATTGTAGGAGTTGAATGTCTCACTGCATACCTCACATGAATAAACTGTATCACATGATATTCTTCTCCTCTGGTGCTCAGATTCAAATACATTACGCTCCTCATCTTCATTATGTGGAACTCGTTCAGAATCAGGTGTTGAATGTTCAGTACTTCCAAAGGTGGTCCCTCCTTGTACAACTGTAGGTTCTGTTTCGGCCTCTTTCTCCTTTACATAAGCCTCATAGAGATTCAAGAGCTCATTTGTCTCATTATCAACTTCCACTCCGACTATGCCATGCTGAAACTCATCTTGTTCAATCAACGGTTCCTGTGTGGTATTCATAACATAGGAGTAGTCTGGACGCTCTTCATGATGTGGAGTCACCTGCTGTTGGGTGTTGTCGGAGACATGCAAATTCTCATCTTGTGTAGCCATATTTGATTTTCAATGCACTGTGAACACTGCGATTACATGCGACCTGTACCCCTATGGTCAAGGTACTCACTGAACGTGTTGTAACATTAGTGGTCATCGGGTTTTGATGTAGTCCCAGTGGAATAGTTCTGAGGTTGCAAACACGAGTGTGTTTGCTAAAGAGGATACACACTGAAAGTTTGCTGGATATTTACGTCTCCAGAACGAGTCTCTTATACATGAAACTGTTACAAGTGGTTATAAAAATAATAACCGATTGCCAGAGAAGGAGTATAAAAGAGAATAATTAGACTGGAGCAGGTTTAAGTCAATTAATATGTATCGTTCTACTGGCCGGCATTACGTTTATTATTATCGATTCGGAGAAATAAAGCACGCACAAAAATAATGCACGAGGAATAAACAAATATGTGTATGTAAGTGGTTTGATAAGGGGCTTGTATCTACCCTACAGAATTTTTTGCCAATGAAAAGTGCTCGTGTGCGCGTTGCGGATTTTTAAGTGTTGCTACTTAAAAATACATATAAAGTAAAAGGGAGGTACGAATATTGAATTATAATTGTTAGTAAAATAGTTTTACTAATAAAAAAATGCTGTTGTTTAAAAAATATTTGTAATCATATTTTTTAAACATTTCATCACTATTTTGATATAGGTACAAGTTAACAATATTATATAATATTAACAAATTAACAATATTCTTAGAATTTAGTTCATTGCTCATTATCATCTGGCAACTCCACGATGAAATGGCAACCCTAAAGAGGGTGACATAGGGACCCCTGGGCCACTATTGCCGGGTTGTCGATCGTTCGGCTCCTCTGCTAACGGGCCATCACCCGGGTTGTTACTCAACCAAGTTTTAACCTGTTTGCGACTCATACATGAGCTTGCATACGAATTTGTATGTTCGCTACACTCAGCTTCTATAGTAGAAAGCTGTCCGCGTACACCTGAGTCCTCAGGAATGGCAACCCATGGGGGGTATAATGGGTGAAACAATATACTCTGTTATGTCCATGGTGCTGCTCATGTCTATAGGCGACGGTTATCATTTTCCATCAGGTGGGCCGTCAGCTAGATTGCCATTCTAAGTTGTATAAAAAAAGTGAACAAACATTTTATATACGTATTTTCTATACACTATTCCTTCTATGTAATCCCTTGTTCTTAGGTTCCTTCTACGTAATTCTTGGAGATCACTGACAGAGTTGTGAGAAGTAGTAGAATGAAATGGTAACCCTAAAGAGTATGACACAGGGACCCCTGGTGCAGTAATGCCCCGGCATTAGTGTCCCAGGGCTTTCTGTGTCACCTGTGTTGCTGATCGTGCGGGTCTTCTGCTAACGGGCCATCAGCCTGGTTGTTATTCAACCACGTTTCAACCTGTTTGCGACTCATACACGAACTTGCATACGAGTTTGCATGTTCGCTACACTCAGCCTCTATAGCGGCGAGCTGTGCGCGTAGATCAGCATCCGCAACCTTACGTTCTAACTCAGCGAGCCAGCGAGCGTGCCTTGCCTCGTCCGCTAAAAGCCTAGCCTTTACCATACTCCCTGTGGATCTTCTCGATGCGGGGTGACTGCCACCCTGAGACCTGGGTGAGAGCTCCAAGTGGACTCCCTCCGAAGGGGCATCCATTTGACTGATGGACGCACATCGAACCTCCGGCGTCCCTTGATCTTTATGCGCAGAGTTTCGGTATGGTCCACTCTTGCTGTGATTCATGCTATTTCCGTTTTTATTCTACGGCCTACCTTTTTGGTAACGTGTGAATATTATTTCCAACACTTGAACGGTAGAAGCACCGATAATTTTGTGAACTCTTCGTAGGAATGATAACGTAGATTCGTGTTCAAAGTACTGACAATTTATAAATCAATAAACAATAAAAGAATAAAATATTTAAAATACAAGTTACAAAAGGAAATCTTGTATTACAATCATATACTTAATATACCTACCTTACTAAGATGAAACTATGATTCTGTAACTGGCAAGAAACAATACTCGCAGAGAAGAAGTGTAACCTCAAACAGAAAAAAAAATACTTAACACAACAAATTCTGCGCGGAATAATTTTGAACTAATAGTGGGGATACTTTCAAATATTTTGTCATTTCGATAAAATGATCGTGCTTTGTGCGCCCACTGTGTACAAAGTGCTCTCTTTCTCGAGTAAGATAGGTCGACGTCTGGGCATACTAGCGCCCCGGTGCCAGCCGACGCGCCTCCTAACTCTCGGGGGCAGCGGTGTAGCACAGTATTAATCCGAACAATTTCTCAAAGCACTCCCCATAATAAATTCTATAGAATATGCACAGAGATACAACATCTGTATGCAGTTTCAGTAGGAACACCTGTAGGTGTTCGGACAGAATGTCCGCCCTGTCCTTGGTTGCGTAACGACGTGTGCCCGTCGCGTCTAGCAACGGGCGGTGGTAACACGGGTGGTGGCCTCGTGGACAATTGTCGGCAGAGTCGGTGCAGGTTAGTGTCGTGTGCGGTCGCCTGTTCGATAATATGGTGCCAGGCGATGAGTTTCGCGTTGTGGTCGGCCGCTAAAATGATCGGTTTGTCGCTATCCATGATAGCTCTGATGTCGTTACAGCAAAATTGAGCGACAGGTGGGCGATAGCCTGCAAACCGGCGCGAGTTGGTTAGCGGAGGGCAGCTGTGTCGCGCTGTGCGCGATATTGGTGGTGGCGGTGCGCGTCGTGGGGGCAGTGGGCGCTTTTCTGCGCCCCCTGCCGACGATTTGTCACTTGTCCGGCGCCGCCGTCGGTAGGGGAGGCATCAGCGTGGTCGGTGCAATGTTCCGACGGCGCGCCTCCCTTTTATAGACCGGGCAGCGCCAGTCGTTGGCGGTATGAGCCCTTGCACAATTTGCGCAGGTGGGCGATTTCATTATGGAATTCTTGAATAGATGCGGAATTCTTCTTGATTGGCTAAATGACCCGCTTTTATCCTCACCAATCACATCTCACTGGTGCAATACCTACCTACAATCATGAAATTTGGCAAGAAGCAAGATCATGTAGCACAAGTAAACGAAATATCCGAAAATTGTAGATTTGTGAATATTTCACATAAAAAATTAAAATTTATTTAGTTTGGAACCCTTCCTCCTCCCTTATAGAAAAATCCAAGTCCACTTGAGAAAGATTAGACAATACATTATTTTTAAACTCCATTCTTCAATCTTCCCCATTTAATATTTTATTAAATGCCAAAGAGTATACCTCTACACAATGCATGAAATGTGTGTTTACATAATTTAGAGTTCTGTGTATCTCATTATATTATTAGAAACATTTACATATAAACCCACAGACATATGGTCATGCCTGAACTTCACCAGACGCCTGCTCTATCGCAGCCGTTGCGCCAGCAGTTATTGGTTCTAGATCTACAGTAGAACACTTGCTGGAATTAACATCTGTTTATAAAAAAAATATTTTCAATTTTATTCTTCTTCTATTGTCTTCTTTACGACACCGAGGATATCTAGAGCTTTTATGCTGACTCTTGATTAGTCACATACTGTTGCTGTTGGAATCAATTCTGTTTTTCAACTTTCATGCAATACCTGAAAGACAACATAATTGTATAATATATATTAGATACATTATTTTTCTCAGAAAAATATCAACTATCAATAATTGGATATTACAAAAAATCCATTCTTCTTTAATTATGACAGCACACAATATTTATTTGTCTGAAATTACTGATTTTCCAAAACATAAAATGTTATTAGCATTGTTTGTAATTATCCATATTTTCTTACACCTGTCAACACAAACATAATCCTTTACAACCAACTCAATTTTAAAACATGTATTTCGATTATTGCAGCCTATGTATCTATGTAAAACACCTTAAAGTAAATGTAAGAGTAAACACAATACTTTGTCTATTAAAAAAAAAGAACCATGTTATTAAAAAAATTATATAAAATTTATGACAATATAAAAATTTTAATTTATGTAATAAATACCTATAAATTATGCGTTAAAACGACCATACCGTTCAATATTTGTTTTTCCAAATTTAGGAATGGATATGGCTGATAACTGTATAAGTACATTTTGTTGTTGATGCGAGTAATCTGCATTGTAGTACTATGGTCTAATATCCATTAAAATACCAACAAACGGTTGTCGCGAGTAAACTCTAGTATACAACTATAATCCGATATACAAAATAAAAAATCTAATATCGAATACAATAAATAAACACAAGAAATAAAATTTATTAAAATGGAAAAAAAATTTAAAAGTATATGTAAAGTAGAAAAAAATTTCTATTCAGTGACAGCAGGGTGTGGGGTTGCCAGATAATAATGAGCCATGCACTAAATTCTAAGAATATTGTTATTTTATTAATAATAAACTTGTTCATATATCAAAATAGTGATGAAATGTTTAAAAAATATGATTATAAATATTTTTTGAACAGTATCATTTTTTTATTAGTAAAACTATTTTACTAACAATTATAATTCAATATTCGTACCTCCCTTTTACTTCATATGTTATGTATTTTTAAGTAGCAGTACTTAAAAATCCGCAACGCACACACGAGCATTTTTCATTGGTAAAAATTCTGTAGGGTAGATATAAGCCCCTTGTCAAAACACTAACGTACACATATCTGTACAAGAGTTTCTTACCTGTCCTCAGACTAAAGATTTCGTCTTTAGACAGTCACAGCCTCTCTAATCTTACTACACTGCTGACTTTTTCGACATATTCTACTGTTTATTCCTTGTGCATTTTGTGTGTGCTTTATTTCTTCGACTCGATAATAACAAAAGTAATACCGGCCAGTAGAACGATATATATTACTTGTAGACTTAAACCTGCGCCAGATAGACTGACGCTGGTTTAAGTCTACAAGTAATTCTCTTTTATATTCCTTCTCTGGCAATCGGTTGTTATTTTTACAACTATTTGTTGCAGTGTCATGTTTAAGAGACTCGTTCTGGAGACGTAAATATCCAGCAAACTTCCTGTATACCCTCTTTAATAAACACGAGTCGACCTTAGAACTATTTTACTAGGTTTCCACTATTATACATGATGTCACAACATATTCAGTGGGTAACCTAACCATAGGGGTACAGGTCATATGTATTCGTAGTATCCACAGTGCATGTCAGATCAAATATGGCAACACAAAATGAGGATTTGCATGTCTCCGACAACACCACACAACAGGTAACTCCACATCATGAAGAGCGTCCAGACTACTCCAATGTTATGAATGCCACACAGGAACCGTTGATTGAACAAGATGAGTTTCAGCATGGCATAGTCGGAGTGGGAGTTGATAATGAGACAAATGAGCTCTTGAATCTCTATGAGGCTTATGTAAAGGAGAAAGAGGCCGAAACAGAACCTACAGTTGTACAAGGAGGGACCACCTTTGGAAGTACTGAACATTCAACACCTGATTCTGAACGAGTTCCACATAATGAAGATGAGGAGCGTAATGTATTTGAATCTGAGCACCAGAGGAGAAGAATATCATGTGATACAGTTTATTCATGTGAGGTATGCAGTGAGACATTTAACTCCTACAATACACTGGAATGCCATATGTCAGTCCATAATAAACAGGAAATATATTCGTCTAATGCAAAGCCATACACTTGTGATGTATGTAGTAAATGTTTTAACAGAAAATCAACATTGCAACGACATTTGTCGATACATAGTGGTAAGAAGCCATATAGTTGTGATGTATGTAATAAGTGTTTTAATAGAAAATCAACACTGCAAGAGCATTTGTCGACACATAGTGGTAAGAAGCCATATAGTTGTGATGTATGTAATAAATGTTTTAATAGAAAATCAATATTGCAAAAGCATTTGTTGATACATACTGGTGATAAGCCATATAGTTGTGATGTCTGTAATAAATGTTTTAAACAAAAATTTACTTTGCAACGGCATATGTTGATACATACTGGTGAGAAGCCATATAGTTGTGATGTATGTAATAAGTGTTTTAATAGAAAATCAACACTGCAACAGCATTTGTCGACACATAGTGGTAAGAAGCCATATAGTTGTAATGTATGTAATAAATGTTTTAATAGAAAATCAATATTGCAAAAGCATTTGTTGATACATACTGGTGATAAGCCATATAGTTGTGATTTATGTAGTAAATATTTTAATAGAAAATCAACACTGCAACAGCATTTGTCGACACATAGTGGTAAGAAGCCATATAGTTGTGATGTATGTAGTAAATGTTTTAATAGAAAATCAAATTTGCAACAGCATTTGTCGACACATAGTGGTAAGAAGCCATATAGTTGTGATGTATGTAGTAAATGTTTTAGTAGAAAATCAACACTGCAAGTGCATTTTTCGACACATAGTGGAGAGAAACCATTTAGTTGTGATGTATGTAGTAAATGTTTTAACATAAAATTAAGATTGAAAGACCATTTGTTGATACATAGTGGTAAGAAGCCATATAGTTGTGATGTATGTAGCAAATGTTTTAATAGAAAATCAAATCTGCAACAGCATTTGTCGACACATAGTGGAAAGAAGCCATATGGTTGTGATGTATGTAGCAAAAATTTTAACAGAAAATCGACATTGCAAAAGCATTTGTTGATACATACTGGTGATAAGCCATATAGTTGTGATGTATGTAGTAAATGTTTTAATAGAAAATCAAATTTGCAACAGCATTTGTCGACACATAGTGGAAAGAAGCCATATGGTTGTGATGTATGTAGCAAATGTTTTAACAGAAAATCAACATTGAAAAAGCATTTGTTGATACATGCTGATGATAAGTCGTATTAAATGTATAATTCATGTAGGTAGGTAAGTATTTGTAAGACAAAATAAAGTTTAGAGGCACAAATAACAATAATAATAATAATAATTTATCTATTTAAATATGTGTATTACAGATCGTATATTATTAGATTTTTAAAGTCTTTGTGACTCGAATAATATGACAAAATCTTTTGTAATCTGTAAAGTGAGGGAAATGTCAAAAATTTTAATTTCTTATAATATGGCTTGCTCCTTTTTATTCTTTATAAAGGCTTTTCCCCTACCCTAGGAATTTCCCTAATAAAGAATTCCGTACTTGAGTGTTGAGCCTGCAAACGTATGGTAAGCGCTTAGAAGTACGAATTGATTAGCGACTTTTCGTAACAAGTAAAGTGCATAGAAGTGCTGATTTACTTTTGTACAAATGTGATCAAGTTGTGTTTTACAAGTTATATCAGCGTCAATATGGATACCTAAAAAGTTAACACAACGAGTTTCCTTAATTTTCCCGCCATATTTATATTATTCAGAATTTTGTTTTTAAATGTCATAAAATTAATTTTATCTACGTTCATCTTTAGGTTATTAGCTTCTAGTCACGAGAATATGTCTTTTAATGAGTTATTTATATCCTCTTCGTAGAAGTTGGGATCGTCATTGGTAAAAATTGCTGTGCTGTCGTCAGCGTATAGAATCATTGAAGGAGTAATAGTATTTGGTAGATCGTTAATATTAATTGGAAATAATAATGGCCTTAATATACTTCTTAGAGGTACCTCTCATACTTCACAGTTCTCTGTTCCAACTGATATTCGATTCTATTCTAGTTATTTCTGTTATCTGTTTCCTACCTTGTAAATAAGGTTAAGTACATTTCCTTTGATCCTTTCCTTTTATCTCTCTTATCTCTAATTTTTCAACAAGGATATCATGGTCTACATGATCGAAGGCTCTAGTCATATTCATAAATAACGCCGTTGTACTCTTTTTATTATATGGTTCACTCATATTTTTTTCTAAGAGTTTATAGATGGCTAAATTCACTGACTTTTTCTTTCTAAATCCAAATTATTCATCTAAAAGTATTTCAATTTTCGCTAAGAAATCATAAATCTTTTAAATTTTTTTAATATAACTTGTATTAGTGTAATAGGTCTATAAAATTATGTAAAGTATTCTATTTTATTCTGCTATTCTATTCTATTCTATTCTATTCTAATTGGATTTTGCTCTATCATTCTTTTTAAATATCGGATTGATTACAGAAACATTTAGTTTGATTTGTTGTTTACACTGTTGATGTTATTACATACCGTTTTTATTTGTTTGTCGATTTTATAATCTTTTTTAATGTTTTAGTGTAATCAGTAAAATAATATTTTTCAATTTCTTTACGTATATACCTGTATAAGAGTTTAGTTTTTGTATCTTTTTAGGCCCTTAGTGCGTCATTTTGCTCAATGACACATTGTTAATTTTTTTTTTCATTGGAAAACAAAGATCATATGGTAATTTCAAATCATCCCTAAAACCATTGTACGCTTTTTCTAGGTTGTCGTTTTTATATACCGTAATAAATGAGTGTATAACTACATTAATATAGTTTTTAAATTAAATTATATCTTCTATGCTATAATCTCTTATCCATTTATACCAATAGTTCATGAGAAAGTTCTTTTTGACTGAGCATTGCATTAATTGTGCAGTATGGCCTGATAGTCCTAGATCTAGTATGGTTGTCTTAGAGTCTCTTATATTATGGGTAAAATTGTCTATACATGTTCCGCTGCATAATCAGGTAGCTTCATTTGTGGTCGATTTGAGATTGTATGAAACTAGCACTTGTTTAAATTCTTTAGAGATAGACTTATTTTTTAAGATGTCTATATTAGTCTCCGCATAGTATTATTTTTTTATCCTTAAACCATAATTTACTCAGTGACTCTGCAAGTTTAAAGAAGAATGTATTAATAAGATTGATTTTCATTTTCGTGGGTCTGTTAGATATATATTATAATTATTTTATGTTCTGTCATATCTTTAGCACTACATTCAAACACTCCGTTGCGATTACATTGATTTACAAATGTATATTTTTATATTTTTGATTCCTATGGACATACGACACATGATCCACCTTTTCTATTATACCTGGAAAACTTGCAGCTAATTTGAAATTCGACATTTTTAATAATTCGATGTTCTCAATCGTCATATTATGTTCGGTAATGTATACAACATCCAGGGGTGTTTTATTACTACCATATACCTTAAGTTGCAAGCGTTATGTTTGACATATCACGTGAATATATGGTATATATTGTGGAAAGCAACAGATGTCATTGTACATAATACGTAGATGTGTGTATAACGTAGCAAAGTTTTGATCTATTTATTATTATATAATATGAATTGTACAGTCTATCTGTATATTTATTTATTAATCCATGTAATAATTAATGAATAAAAATCCATTTACGCCTTATATTATTTGTATTTTTTCGAAGAATGTAAACGCCAATTTAGTCGTGCGTTTGTAACGTTCCTAAAAAAATGACTTTTTTAATGGGTGAAATTGAAATGATAACCCCACCTGCGCTATTAGTATGCACTGGTGGGACACCAGTGAGGGATGATTGGTGAGGATGAAAGCAAGTCAGTTAGCCCATCATGAAGAATTCCATGAGAAATAACCACGATGGTCTCCAGGGGAAACCGCGCGGAAGTCGATCTGATACAGTATATTGCTAGCAATGGAGCTGTTATAATACAAGGTTTGAATTTGAATCTTATTTTATTACAACTCGTCCACGTGTATGATACACGGTCGAGCAGACTTCTTCTATATTAGACATTATTTGACATATTACTCTATATCGTCAATACCTATATTAAACAATGATACACCATTTATCATTCTTGAAGTATAATTCTATTGCTCGATATGAATTTAATAAATTTTTGATACAATGTGTACAAATATCGAGAGGAGTAGATCGTTTAAGTCGTGCTGATAGGCAGGACAGTTGTGTTTCAAAAGAAAAGTTTTCATCTATCTATATTCCTAAATATTTTACTGAATTTGTTCTCTCAGTCGTTTTTCAGTCACAGAACCCAATAAATAGCATCATGTTGTTAACCTGCTTTATTTACTTACAGGTATGAATAGGTAAAGTATGATGTTGTTTAAGAGCAGATGCAGCAGATTTATGGTAAGCCGCTACTCTCAGCCTCTATAGCGGCGAGCTGTGCGCGTAGCTCTGTATCCGCAGCTTTACGTTCTAACTCAGCGAGCCGGCGTGCGTGCCCCGCCTGGGCCGCTAAAAGCCTAGCCTTTACCATACTTCCTGTGGATTTTCTCGATGCAGGGGTGACTGCCACCCCGACACCTGGGTGAGAGCTCCACGTGACCTCCCTCCGAAGGCGCATCCATTTGACTTACCATTTTGGGAACGTGCGAGTATCATTTCCAACACTTGAACGGTAAAAGGACCAATAATATTGTGAATTCTTCGTAGGAATGATAACGTAGGTTCGTGTTCAAAGTTGTACTGACAATTTATAAAACAATAAAAGATTAAATTTTTGAAATACAAATTACAAAAGGAAATCTTGTATTCCAATCATATACTTAATATACCTACCGTACTAGGATGAAACTATGATTCTGTAACTGGCAAGAAACAATACTCGCAGAGAAGAAGTGTAACCTCAAACAAAAAAGATGCTTAACACACCGATGCTTTAAGCGTAACAAATTCCGAGCGAAATAATTGAGAACTAATAGTGTTTCAAATATTCAGTCATTAATATTCTCGTACAATGTGAGTCTCCCTTCGGGAGGTATCTTAACAGGTTTTTTAATGGATGACGATGGAATGGTAATCCTGCGTGTGCTATCGGTATACGCTGACGGAGTATCAGTGAGGGATGATTGGTGAGGATGAAAGCAAGCCAGCGTAACATAATTAAAAATTAACCAACATAGTTTCTAGAGGACACCGTGCGGAGATCGACCTAATAATAAACTCTATAGCAATGGCATTACTAACGATCCCTTTTCACCTGATTAATAGAGTTGTGATATGGCACAAACTTATAAATGCACGATAATATTGACGTTTACATTCTTCGAGAAAACAAAACTAAAAATATATGTATAATAAATACAAAAAATATGAGGCGTAAATGAATTTTTATTTATAAATTATTACATGGATTAATAAATAAATATACATATAGATTGTAAAATTCATATTATATAAATAGATCAAAACTTTGTTACGTTATACACACATCTACGTATTATGTACAATGACATCTGTTGCTTTCCACAATATATACCATATAATCACGTGATATGTCAAACATAACGCTTGCAACTTAAGGTATATGATAGTAATAAAACACTCCTGGATGTTGTATACATTACCGAACATAATATGACGATTGAGAACATCAAATTATTAAAAATGCCGAATTTCAAATTAGCTGCAAGTTTTCCAGGTATAATAGAAAAGGTGGATCATGTGTCGTATGTCCATAGGAATCAAAAATATAAAAATATACATTTGTAAATCAATGTAATCGCAACGGAGTGTTTGAATGTAGTGCTATAGATATGACAGAACATAAAATAATTATAATATATATCTAACAGACCCACGAAAATGAAAATCAATCTTATTAATGCATTCTTTTTCAAACTAGTTAAAAACTACAATAAATAATAATAACTTCTTAGAAACTATATAGTTTCTAAGAACTGTTAACTAGTTTGTTTTAATATTAAAAGACTCATTTATTACGGTATATAAAAACGACAACCCAGAAAAAGCGTACAATGCTTTTAGGGATGATTTGAAATTACTATATGATCTTTGTTTTCCAATGAAAAAAATAAATTAAACAATGTGTCATCGAGCAAAATGACCCTTACGCCTAAAAAGATACAAAAAATCAATTCTTATACAGGTATAGATGTAAAGAAATTGAGAAATGGTATTTTTTAATGGTAAATTGAGAATGATAGAGAAAAATCCAATTAGAATAGAATAGAAGAATAGAATAGAATAGCAGAATAGAATAGCAGAATAGAATAGCAGAAAAGAATAGCAGAATAAATAAAAGAATACTTTACTTAATTCTTTAGACCTATTACACTAATACAAATAATATCAAAAAATTTTGAAACAGTTATTTACAAATCTATGTATGATTTCTTCGAGAAAATTAAAATACTTTTAGATGAATAATTTAAATTTAGAAAGAGAAAGTCAATAAATTTAACCATCTATAAATTCTTAGAAAAAAATATGAGTGATCCAAATAATAAAAAGAATACAACTGCGTTATTTATGACTATGACTAGAGCCTTCGATTATGTAGACCATGATATCCTTGTTGAAAAATTAGAGATATATGGAATCAGAGGAAATGTACTTAACCTTGTAAAATCATATTTACAAGGTAAGAAACAAATCACAGAAATGACTAGAATAGAAACGAATATCAGTTGGAACAGAGAACTGTAAAGTATGAGGTACCTTTAAGTAGTATATTAGGATCATTATTGTTTCCAATTAACATTAACGATATACCTAATACTATTACTCCTTCAATGATTCTATACGCTGACGACAGCACAGCAATTTTTACCAATGACGATCCCAACTTCTACGAAGAGGATATAAATAACTCATTAAAAGACATATTCTCGTGACTAGAAGCTAATAACCTGAAGATGAACATAGATAAAATTAATTTTATGACATTTAAAAATAAAATTCTGAATAATATAAATATTAATTATATGGTGGGAAAATTAAGGAAACTCATTGTGTTAACTTTTTAGGTATCCATATTGACGCTGATATAACTTGTAAAACATAGATTGATCACATTAGTACAAAAGCAAATCAGCACTATTATACACTTTATTTGTTACAAAAAGTCGCTAATCAATTTGTATTTCTAAGCGCTTACCATGCGTTTGCAGGCTCAACACTCAAGTACGGAATTCTCTATTGGAGAAATTCCTAGGGGAAGAAAAAAACTTTTGAAACCAAAAAAAATGTGTTCGTTCCATACGTGGAATACATGATTTCATATAAGTCGTGCAAGCCATATTTTAAAAAATGAAATTTTGACATTTCCTTCACTTTATATCTATGAAGCTGCAATTTAAATAATATCTAATATTACAGATTATGAAACACTAAAAAGCGAAAGACATTGTCATATTAGTCACAAAGTATAACACAACTGTATACAATAATAGCATATTGTGCATGCATGCATGGGTCTGAAAGTGTACAAAAAATTGCCCCAATATATAAAATACATTGACCACTTGCATTTATTTAAGAAAGAACCAAGAAAACACTAACTGACAAAGCAAACTACACTCTAAATGAATATATGACAAATAGTTTTCAAAAAGAAACAAACTCCAAATGACTGCGCTACATCCTATGAAACGAGAGACAAGACAAATTTTATTGTAATAATAGTTTTTTTTTCCTACAATCTATTATAATTAAGGCATTGTAATAAGTCAACAATAATAACAGTGTACTAATATTTATATTAAAAGAAGATCTACAGATTTTAAAAATCTAATAATGTACGATCTGTAATACGCGTATTTGAATAGATAAATTGTTATTATTATTATTGCTGTTTGTACCTCTGAAATTTATCTTGTCTTATAAATACTTATATCTACATTTAATACGGCATATCAACAGTATGTTTCAACAAATGCTGCTGCAGTGTTGATTTTTTGCTAAAATATTTATTTCACATATCACAAGTATATGACTTCTTACCAGTATCTATCGACAAATGTTGTCGAAATATTGATTTTAATTTAAAACATTCACAACTCTATGGCTTATCACTAGTATGTATCAACATATGCCGTTGCAATATTGATTTTCTGTTAAAACATTTACTACATATATCACAACTAAATGGCTTATCACCAGTATGTATAATCACATGCCGTTGCAGTGTTGATTTTCTGTTAAAATATTTACTACATACATCACAACTATATGGCTTATCACTAGTATGTATCAACATATGCTGTTGCAATATTGATTTTCTGTTAAAACATTTACTACATACATCACAACTAAATGGCTTATCACCAGTATGTATAATCAAATGCCGTTGCAATGTTGATTTTCTGTTAAAATATTTACTACATACATCACAACTATATGGCTTATCACCAGTATGTGTCAACAAATGCTTTTGCAATATTGATTTTCTATTAAAACATTTATTACATACATCACAAATATATGACTTCTCACCAGTATATATCAACAAATGCTGTTGCAATGTTGATGTTTCCCTAAAACATTTACTACATACATCACAACTATATGGCTTCACATCAGTATGTATCAACAAATGCTCTTGCAATGTTGATTTCCTATTAAAACATTTATTACATACATCACAACTATATGGCTTCTCACCAGTATGTATCAACATATGCCGTTGCAATGTTGGTTTTTGGTTAAAACATTTACTACATACATTACAACTAAATGGTTTCTCTCCACTATGTATCAACAAATGCTTTTGCAATGTTGATTTCCGCTTGAAACATTTATTACATACATCACAACTATATGGCTTATCACCAGTATGTATCAACATATGCCGTTGCAATGTTGATTTTTGGTTAAAACATTTACTACATACATTACAACTAAATGGTTTATCACCAGTATGTATCAACAAATGCATTTGCAATGTTGATTTCCTCTTGAAACATTTATTACATACATCACAACTATATGGCTTATCACCAGTATGTATCAACAAATGCTTTTGTAATATTGATTTTCTATTAAAACATTTATTACATACATCACAACTATATGGCTTCTCACCAGTATGTATCAACAAATGACGTTGCAAAGTTAATTTTACTTTATAACATTTATTACATACATCACAACTATATGGCTTCTCACCAGTATGTATCAACAAATGACGTTGCAAAGTAAATTTTTGTTTAAAACATTTATTACAGACATCACAACTATATGGCTTCTCACCAGTATGTATCAACATATGCCGATGCAATGTTAATTTTTGTTTAAAACATTTACTACATACATTACAACTATATGACTTCTTTCCACTATGTATCGACAAATGTCGTTGCAATGTTGATTTTCTGTTAAAACATTTACTACATACATTACAGGTGTATGGCTTTACGTTAGACGAATATATTTCCTGTTCATTATAGACTGACATATGGCATTCCAGTGTATTGTAGGAGTTGAATGTCTCACTGCATACTTCACATGAATAAACTGTATCACATGATATTCTTCTCCCCTGGTGCTCAGATTTAAAGACATTACGCTCCTCATCTTCATTATGTGGAACTCGTTCAGAATCAGGTGTTGAATGTTCAGTACTTCCAAAGGTGGTCCCTCCTTGTACAACTGTAGGTTCTGTTTCGGCCTCTTTCTCCTTTACATAAGCCTCATAGAGATTCAAGAGCTCATTTGTCTCATCATCAACTACCACTCCGACTATGCCATGCTGAAACTCATCTTGTTCAATCAACGGTTCCTGTGTGGTATTCATAACATTGGAGCATTCTGGACGCTCTTCATGGTGTAGAATTACCTGCTGTGTGGTGTTGTCAGAGACATGCAAATTCTCATTTTGTGTTGCCATATTTGATCTGACATGCACTGTGGATACTGCGAATACATATGCCCTGTACTCCTATGGTCAGGGTACCCACTTAACGTGTTGTGACATCATAATACACAGTGGTCATCAGGTCTTGACGTAGTCCTAGTGGAATAGTTCTGAGGTCGACTCGTGTTTGCTAAAGAGGGTACACAGAAAGTTTGCTGGATAAATATCCATAATACGTATAGATAATACGTCTCCAGAACGAGTCTCTTAAACATGACTGTGCAATAAATGGTTGTAAATATAACAACCGATTGCCAGAGAAAGAATATAAAGAGAATAGATAGACTGGCGCAGGTTTAAGTCTACAAATAATATGTATCGTTCTACTGGCCGGTATTACCTTTGTTATTTTCGAGTCGATGAAATAAAGCACACACAAAATGCATAAGGAATAAACAGTACAATATGTCGAAAAAGTCAGCCATGTAGTAAGATTAGAAAAGCTGTGACTATGTCTAAAGACGAAATCTTTAGTCTAAGAACAGGTAGGAAACTCTTGTACAGATATGTGTACGTTAGTGATTTGACAAGGGGCTTGTATCTACCCTACAGAATTTTTTGCCAGTGAAAAATGCTCGTGTGTGCGTTGCGGATTTTTAAGTACTGCTACTTAAAAATACATAACATATGAAGTAAAAGGGAGGTACGAATATTGAATTATAATTGTTAGTAAAATAGTTTTACTAATAAAAAAAAATGCTACTGTTTAAAAAATATTTATAATCATATTTTTTAAACATTTCATCACTATTTTGATATAGGTACAAGTTTATTATTAATAAAATGACAATATTCTTAGAATTTACTGCATTGCTCATTACCATCTGGCAACTCCATACCCTGCTGTCACTGAATAATTTTTTTTTTTCTACTTTACATATACTTTTAATTTTTTTTTCCATTTTAATAAATTTTATTTCTGGTGTTTATTTATTGTATTCGATATTAGATTTTTTATTTTGTATATCGGATTATAGTTGTATACTAGAGTTTACTCGCGACAACCGTTTGTTGGTATTTTGATGGATATTAGACCATAGTACTATAATGCAGATTACTCGCATCAACAACAAAATGTACTATACAGTTATCAGCCGTATCCATTCCTTGGAAAACTTGCAAAACTTGGAAAAACAAATATTGAACGGTATGGTCTTTTTAACGTATAATTAATAGGTATTTATTACATAAATTTCAATTTTTATGTTGTCATAAAGTTTTATTTAATTTTTTTAATAACATGGTTCTTTTTTTTAATAGACAAAGTATTGTGTTTACTCTTACATTTACTTTAAGGTGTTTTACATAGATACATAGGCTACAATAATTGAAATACATGTTTTAAATTGAGTTGGTTGTAAAGGATTATGTTCATGTTGACAAGTGTGAGAAAAAAAAAGGATAATTACATACAATGCCAATAACATTTTATTTTTTGGAAAATCATTAACTTTAAACAGATTGGCTGTCATAATTAAAGAAGAAGGTTTTCTTTTGCAATATCCAATGAATGACAGTTAATATGTTTCAGAGAAAAATAATGTAATGTAAATTCCGACAACAACAATATGTGACTAATCAAGAGACAGCATAAAAGCTATATATATATCCTCGGTGTCGTGAAGAAGACAATAGAAGAAGAATAAAATTAAAAATATTTTTTTTTATAAACAGATGTTAATTCCAGCAAGTGTTCTACTGTAGATCTAGAACCAATAACTGCTGGCGCAACAGCTGCGGTAGAGCAGATGTCTGGTGAAGTTCAGATATGGGCATATGTTTGTGGGTTTATATGTAAAAGTTTCTGATAATATAATGAGATACACAGAACTCTTAATTATGTAAACACACATTTCATGCATTGTGTAGAGGTATACTCTTTGGCATTTAATAAAATATTAAATGGGGAAGGTTGAAGAATGGAGTTTAAAAATAATGTATTGTCTAATCTTTCTCAAGTGGAGTTGGATTTTTTATTAAAGTGTCCACACTGTTATAGAGAAAATAAAACTTATGTAATGATTTCAACTTTTCACATTTGTATAAAAAAAAGTTTGTTGGTGATGAAAATCAGCAGCAGGTAATACATACCGATAAGAAGTCATATAGTTGTGATGTATGTAATAAATGTTTTAGAAAGAAAGCAAATTTAACACTGCATTTTTTGATACATTTTGATGATAAACTGTATAGTTGTGATGTATGTAATAAATCCTTTAGACAAAAACCAAATTAAATACAATATTCATTGATACATTTTGATGGTAAGCCATATAGTTGTGATGTATGTAGTAAATGTTTTAAGCTAAAGTTATCATTGAAACAGCATTTGTTGACACACACTAGTGATAAGTCATACACTTGTGATGTATGTAATAAATGTTTTAATAGAAAATCGACACTGCAACAACATTTTTTATGTTTTTTATGTCAACATTAACAACAAGAGGTTGTCAGAAGTGGGATGTAACATCGCCATTGCTAGTAATATAACTTATATAACGGCGGCGCGACAGAACACACAAGTAACGAAGACTAACGGTGATCTCCCTCTCTCCCCCCCATGACCGTGCATTATTTGGTACACAGCGGTGATAGCAGCAGAGAAAGGCTGATGATTACGCAGTCAGTCAACTGCCTTTACCCTCTAGCTACATAGAAAGAAGAAATTGAATTCAAAGAAAAATAGAACAAAAGAAAAATATTAAAGTAGTTTATTCCCTTCATTGCCTCTGGTGTTGCCAGTACTTATGGGCAGCGGTGATTACTTAGCATTAGGTAAGCCGCATGCTCGTTTGTCTCATGTGCTGTAAAAAAAATACAAGTAAGTATTCTGATTGTGGCACTTGCCTTTGTGATCAAAAGTTTATTAATAGATTTCTTTAATGGGTGACGATGGAATGATAATGTGATAACGTGGTGAGTGTGCATAGTTTCCAGGGTAACCACGTGGAGGTCGACCTGATGGGGTATATTGCTAACAACGGAACTGACAATCCGCATTGCTAACAATCCCTTCCCCCCAGCGCTCATGCAGTTGCCCCGTCCCCGTCCGATCCGAGTTTTACGTCAGGTGCAGAATTGTATGTATAGTTATAAATATATTGTTGTAGATAATTCTAGTGTATACAATAGTCGTAATTTTAAATAAACAGATTTAGTGTTAATATAAATGTATATATTTATGTTATATTTATTTATTTATATGGCAAATATATAATAATAATAATAATAAATCAACAACATCTCAGACGGTTGGGACTCCGAGGCGGCTCACTCCCGGGAAAGATGCAGAAAGCGGTGCTCTTAGATTCTGCCCATATTGTATGCCGATTTCTCTCCCTGGGGCCTGAACCTCGGCCGAATGTGCTTCTGCCGGGGGTTAGTTTGCCATCTCCTCTCCTTAAGAGGGGAGATGTGAATTTTCTAGAAATTAAAATAATAATAGTAATAATATTTTTTTATTCAAGAAAGATACAGTTGCATAAAGTACAATTTACGATTTTTACGATTTATATTCAACGAGAAAAATATTTGCATTACCATCATTATGTGTTTGTATTTAATATAATTATATAAGCGTATGTATAAGTAGGCTGTTAGTGTAATTCAATCTTATTGAACAATAAAACTGTTACATAATATACCTCACAGACATCGCTATTGCTAACACACATCTAATGTCCAAACTACTATATCAGATAAACTTGCGCAAAGCCAGGATCTGGCAATAGCATGGAAACCCAATGACACATCCATACAGTAGGTACATATTGTACCCATACAATAAATAGCATTCTCCACCGGTGTAATCCCAAATAAACTAAGTAATAGCTTCAACGCCTAGGTGTTCTACGATATTTCCATAAAACGTGCACGTCCACAATTATATTTTGAAGAGCAGCGCAGGCAGGCACTCGCATACACACATACATATAATATACTTTTCTTATACCACTGAGGTGGCAAACAAGTACACGGCCCACCTGACAACAATACCAGGGGCATTACGCGCGCGTTGTCGACTCTGAAGAAATCCCTTTAGCCTTTTTTTCAAGAACCCAAGTCTCTTTTTTCACGTCTCTTAGAAAAATCTCGACAGGGAGGTCATTCTATAACCTAACCTGAGCGTTCATGGGAGAAAACATCTCTGAAATCACGTTGTACGCGACCACCTAGGCTCTAGGGTATAAAGGTAAACTCCTTGTCGATGGCGAGCTGTACGATGATAGAAAGTGGCCGTAGGCATCATATTGAACATATCCTCTGAGCACATTCCATTGTACAAGTGGTAAAACATGCAGAGTGAGGCAAAATCTTTCCTTAAGACTTAAGGGTTCGTTACCGTTTGTAAGCCTAGGATCATCGAAAATTCTCATAGCTTTATTCTTTTATTAATTATTGAAACTTTTGTTTTCAATATTTGCACGCTTGACCTAAGTAGATATTGGAAGGTACTTTTAATTTATAAGATTTAATATTTTATATCCAAAATCATAGCAAATAAAAATATTATTATTATTATTTACAACATTCACATCTCCCCTCTCAAGGAGAGGAGATAGCAAACTAACCCCCGGCAGAAGCATAGTCGGTCGGAATTCATGGCCCCAGGGAGAAAAACCAGCGTACAATGCGAACAGTATCTAGGGGCACTGCTCTCTGCATCTTTCCCAGGAGTAAGCCGCCTCCGATGATGACATGTCCGACATGTCTTATTATAGCTCGCACTTGTAGAATTACGACGACCTTAAAAGCGAGCCTAGGTCTGCCACGGAAAGGTTATGGCAATGCCATGATCGTGCACGTCCACATTATTATTGCATAGAATGCTTAAAAGCGTCTACATAGAAATGCATACAGTTTACTCTGCCATTGTATCGTGACGGTAAAATCGTACGATACCGTGAAGGTACCACGTAAAAGTATAAAAACGCCCAACGGCAATGTTAGACCCCTTTAGTTTTACTGACAATATTTTCCCCCCTGTTTCATAGAACTATGTTATAAATACGTTACAAATATACACATACGTTACGAATGAGCGATAAAATTGTCTTTTGCATTGTTTTATGTACAAGAATAAAAGAATACAACAAATAAAATGTCAAAGAATTTTAATTCATTATTTAATAAATACACAGATCGTAAGATTGTTCAATTCTGAATGAAACAACATGATTAAATTATGTTAACCAAAAGTGGTAGTTACGTCTTTTCTACTCAAATTTTTTAATTTCATATCATATAAAAATAAGTTGATCAAAACTGTTATGTTATACACACATCTACATATTATGATATACAATGACATCTACTAGTTTCCACAATACATACATACATACATATCTGTCACGCCTGTCTTGTCTAGTTTCCACAATACTTATATATAATCACGTGATATGTCAAACATAATGCTTGTTACTAAAGGTACTGCTATTTGTATCTCTGAACTTTATCTTGTCTTATAAATACTTACATCTATATGAATTATACATTTAACATGGATTACATGTTAAATATTAAATAATTAGTATGCTTCAACAAACATTGTGTTAAATTAAATTTTCTTCTAAAACATTTATTACATAAATCACAAATATGTGGCTTATTGCCAGTATGCATTAAATAATGCTTTGTCAGACTTTAATTTTTTACTAAAACATTTACTACTTACATTACAACTATGTGGCTTATCTCCAGTATGTATTAAAAAATGCTGTGTTAAACTTGCTTCTTGATTAAAACTTTAATTACATACATTACAACTATGCTCATCACCAGTATATATCAAATAACGTCGTGTTAAATATGACTTTATGTTGTTTAGGGAGACTTTGTACAAAAGTCGATTGCTTGGGTACCTCTGTCCCATTCGTGTTTCTATCGTGAAGCAGTTGTGTTTGCATGGCTGTGTTTCGGTTTGAACGGTGGGATATGGCATGAATTTACAGGGTACAGAGGAATAACACCTGAGTCCTCAGGAATAGCAACGCATGGGGGGTATCATGGGCGAAACAGTGTGTGTGTACTGTTATGTCCATGGTACTGCTCATATCTATAAGCGACGGTTACCATTTTCCACCAGGTGGGCCGTCAGCTTGTTTGCCATTCTAAGTAGTATAGAAAATAGTCTTAAAAATATTTACTTATACCTACATAAATTATACATTTAACATTGCTTGGTATCAGTATGTTTCAACAAATGTTGTTGCAATGTTGATTTTTGTGTAAAACATTTACTACATACATTACAACTATATGGCTTATCACCAGTATGTATCAACAAATGCTGTTGCAATGTTGAGTTTCTGTTAAAACATTTACTACATACATCACAACTATATGGCTTATCACCAGTATGTATCAACAAATGCTGTTGCAATGTTGATTTTTGTGTAAAACATTTACTACATACATTACAACTATATGGCTTAACACCTTTATGTATCAACATATGCCGTTGCAAAGAAAATTTTTGTTTAAAACATTTATTACAGACATCACAACTATATGGCTTCTCACCAGTGTGTATAATCAAATGCCGTTGCAACTTTGATTTTATGTCAAAATATTTACTACGTACATCACAACTACATGGCTTCTTATCACTATGTATCATCAAATGCCGTTGTAACCTTGATTTTATGTTAAAATATTTACTGCATACATCACAAGTGTATGGCTTTTCATTAGACGAATATATTTCCTGTTCATTATGGACTGACATATGGCATTCCAGTGTATTGTAGGACTCGAATGTCTTACTGCATACCTCACATGAATAAACTTTATCACATGATATTCTTCTTCTCTGTTGCTCAGATTTAAAGTCATTATGCTTCTCATCCTCATTATACGTAACATTTTCGGAATCAGGTTCTAAATGTTCAGTACTTTCAAAGGTAGTCACTCCTTGTACAACTGTGGGTTCTATAGTCGACTGTTTCTCCCTTACATAATCCTCATATAGATTCAAGAGCTCATTTGTCTCATCAGAGCATATCATTTGATTAGCTTCCAATTCTTCAGTCACAGTGTTCACAACTCCCGCTCCGACTATACCATGCTGAAACTCATCTTGTTCAATCAACGGTTCCTGTGTGGTATTCATAACATTGGAGTAGTCTGGACGCTCTTCATGATGTGGAGTCATCTGCTGTTGGGTGTTGTCGGAGACATGCAAATTCTCACCTTGTGTAGCCATATTTGATCTGCCATGCGCTGTGGACCCTCTGTGGTCAGGGTACCCACTAAACGTGTTGTGACATCATTAAAACACAGTGGTCATCAGGTCTTGACGTAGTCCTAGTGAGATAGTTCTGAGGTCGCTTCGTGTTTACTATAGAGGGTACACACTGAAAGTTTGCTGGAAATTTACGTCTCTAGTACGAGTCTCTTATACAAGGTACTGCAACAAGTGGTTGTAAAAATAACAACCGATTGCCAGAGAAGGAATATAAAAGAGAATAGGTAGACTGCGGCAGATTTAAGTCTACAAATAATATGTATCGGTCTAGTAGCCGGTATTACCTTTGTTATTATCGAGTTTAAGAAATAAAGCACACACAAAATGCACAAGGAATAAACAGTAAAATATGTCGAACAAGTTAGCAGTTTAATAAGAAGAGAGGCTATGACTAGGTCTAAAGACGAAATCTTTAGTCTGAGGGCAGGTAGGAAACTCTTATACAGATATGTGTACGTAAGTGAATTGACAAGGAGTTTGTATCTACCCTACAGAATTTTTGGCAATGATACAAAAGCACGTGTGTGCGTTGCGGATTTTTTAATATTGCTACTTAAAAATACTTATAAAGTAAAAGGGAGATACGAATATTGAAATATAATTGTTTGTAAAAATGCTTAATAATAATAAAAAGAAAATATTCTCTTATATTTATAATTTTATATTTAACATTTTCATCGCTATTGTGATGTAGGTAGAATGTAATTATTTAATGAACTAATAATTGTCTTAGAATGAAGTGCATTGCTCGTGATTATATGGCAACCCCACACCCTCCTGTCATTCGAAATAACTTTTTACTATTTCATACATATAATATTTTTATATTTTTTTTTTCTGATTTTTAATCATATTTATTTCTCGTATTGGTTATCAGACTTGTGTATTTTATATATTGGACTATAGTAGTACAATGGGTATTACTCGCGTCAACAACAAAATGTACTATACATGTACAGTATGTGTGCTAAATGTGGATAAACTACTTTTTAAGATGTATTAATATCATTCCATCTTTTACCAGAGGGAGACTTTGTACAAAAGTCGATTGCTTGGGTACCTCTGTCCCATTCGTGTTTCAACCGTGAAGCAGTTGTGTTTGCATAACTGTGTTTCGGTTTGAAGGGTGGGATATGGCGTGAATTTACTGGGTACAGAGGAATAACACCTGAGTCCTCAGGAATGGCAATGCATGGGGGGTATCATGGACGAAACAGTATACTCTATTATGTCCATGGTATTGCTCATGTCTATAGGCGACGGTTACCACTTTCCATCAGGTGGGCCGTCAGCTTGTTTGCCATTCTAAGTTGTATAAAAAAAAAAAATCTGTTTCCTAAACCTGGAAAAACAAATAGCGAGCGGCATGGTTACTTTAACGTATAATTAATAGGTATTTATTACATAAATTTCCATTTTTATAATATGTAGTTTTAGGGGGAAAAGGATTGTTAGCAATGGAGTTTGACAGCCCCATTGCTAGCAATATACCTTATTAGGTCAACCTCTACGTGGTTCCCCCTGGAAACCATAGTGAACAATTCTTGTTGAATTCGTCACGATGGGCTAACTGACCTACTTCATCTTCACCTATCATCCTTCACTGGTGCCCCGCCGGTGTATACCCATAGCGCGGGTGGGGTTACTATTCCATTATCATCCATTAAAAAAAAATTTAGTTTTATATATTTTTTATTAAGATGTTTATTTTCATCAACAAACCTAAGTATTGCGTTTATTTCTATTTAAGGTGTTTTACATAGACGCATAGAATACAATAATCGAAATACATGTATTAAATTGTAAAGGATTATGTTAATGGCGAGGTCCAGCAGGAAAAAGAAATGTTGGAAGGCAAAGAAAGAGATGGGCAGATGACATAATAAAGATAGCAGGAAACAACTGGACAAGTATTGCTACAGATAAGGAGAAGTGGAAAAAGATGGAGGAGGCATTTACCGTTGGGGACCACGGAAGTGGATAAAAAAGCTATAATAATAATAATGTTCATGTTCATATGACAGGTGTAAGAAAAAAAAAATGGATATCAAACAATGCAAATAGCATTTTGTTTTCCCGGGAAATCAGTACCTTCAGACAGACTGGCTGTTATAATTAAAGAGTGAGAATTTTTTATAATGTGAATGTGAAAGGGACTCCATTTTCCGCACTTAGCCTCTCATTTGGGCCATTGTGCGTATGAGTCGTGGCTAGTGCAGCCAACCTAGCTCCGTCCAGAAGCGCAGAAGCTTCCTGGGTTCTTCACAGGCCTCACGGAGCGACCTCACCGTTCCGAGGATTTCTAAACGTTGATGATTTTTTATAATGTTTAATTTTTGATAATTAATGCTTTTTAGAGAAAACTAATGTACCTAACATACTTACATTACACAATTATGTTGTCTTTCAGAATGAAAGTTGGAAGACGGGGCTGATTGTGACAGCAACAGCATGTGACTTATCAAGAGTCAACATAAAGGCTCTAGATATCCTCGGTGTCGTGAAGAAGACATATTTCAACTAAATGATAATGATAAATTTAAAAAGTTTTTATTGTCAACCGAAATACAATCAGATGTGCATTCCAGCAAGTGTTCTACTGTAGATCTAGAACCACTAACTGCTGACGCAACAGCTGTAATAGAGCAGGTGAAGTTCGGGCATGCCATATGTCTGTGGGTTTATAGCAGGTGTCTGGTGAAGTTCAGACATGACCATATGTCTGTGGGTTTATATGTAAAAAAATTATACAGTGTAATGAATGTACTACTTGTACAGAAATATTTTTGGCTTCAGGACCCACAGACAATGTTTACGTAACCTTAATTTATTTAAAAGTCTCATTCCCCCCTAAGGATCCATGTGTACTATATGGATGGATAATTTCACCAAGTAACGGCTATTGTAAATACTTTTTATTTAATAGATTTCTTTGAAGATTTAAAACATGTATTGAACGTTAGATTTAATTGAACTGGCATCCATTTTAATTTTATACTAGTTTTTGGAAGCACCTACGTATAGGAATGGAAGTTATGGGTTAATTGTAAGTTGACTAAATGTAAAAAATATTTAGTTGTATTTTATCTTAAGTTTGAATTTCTTAATTATATTTTATTAACCCTTATCCAAATAAATATTTTTATCGCTTCTAATAATAATGGCGGCCATTTTGTTTAATTTTAACACCAGATTTATATTTGAAATGTATATGGATCCTTGGATATCGATTTTCAAAGCAATCGGTTAAATGACAAAGGATCTTTGGATAAATTATATGTATATAGTGGAATTTAAAATTCGTTTTTGAAGTCACTTGAGAATAGTGGGTGTTTTATTAAAAAATCAAGTAATTGTGCTGTAACAGTGTACCTTAATAAGAATTACATTAAATAGTCTGCATAATACTCAATAATATATCCATACACATACCTACATATATATTATGTAAGAAAATAGCACGAATTACAAATAATAATTCAAAACAATTCAATTCTTATTGAAAAAAAATTCACTTAATTTCGGAAATTTTTATTCAATTGCAGGGATATTTTTTTTTTCGGATACTTGCAACACTTAAAAATGGCGCGAATATTATTAATAAAAAATATTAATAATTACATTTATGTTTAAAATTGAAGATACTCACTAGTTATCAGAGATTTCTTTATCAGTTCTGTTTTTGGTCTTATAATTTTTGCTCCTCTTCAGTAAGCAATAGCTGCTCAATTAAGTATAAACACTTACAGTTCTAATTAGAATAATAATAAAAACAAAAAAAAAAAATTCAAATTTATTTAACATTTGCTGACAATAAGTCCTCGAGGCTCGATGCTCTATCTGTATAATCTAAAGTACCAACATATGCTTTTATCATGTTGATTTTAGCGTAAAACATTTATTACATACATCACAACTATATGGCTTATCACCAGTATGTATCAACATATGCTGTTGCAATATTCATTTTCTGTTAAAATATTTACTACATACATCACACCTATGTGGTTTATCACCAGTATGTACCAGTATGTATCACTAGTTTGTATCAACAAATGCTGTGTTAAACTTGCTTTTCGACTAAAACATTTACTACTTACATCACAACTATACAGCTTATCACCAGTATATATCTGCAAATGCAGTGTTAAAATTGATTTTTGGCTAAAAGATTTATTACATAGGTCACAACTATATGGTTTTTCACCAATATGTAACAACAAATGCTGTCAAAATGATGATTTATGCCTAAAACATTTATTACATACATCACAACTATATGGCTTCTCATCAGTATGTATAAACAAATGATGTTGCAATGTTGATTTTCTGTTAAAACATTTATTACATACATAACAAGTGTATGGCTTTTCATTAGACAAATATATTTCTTGTTTAGTATGAACTGACATATGGCATTCCAGTGTATTGTAGGACTCGAATGTCTCACTGCATACCTCACATGAATAAACTGTATCACATGATATTTTTCTTTTCCGATGCTCAGATTTAGAGACATTACGCTCCTCATTTTCATTATACAGAACTCGTTCAGAATCAGGTTTTGAATGTTCAGTAGTTCCACAGATGGTCACTCCTCACTCCTTGTACAACGGTGGGTCCTATAACCCACTCACTCTTTATTTCATGATCCACATAGAGCATCAAGAAACCGTTTGCCTCTTCACAGCATATTATTTAATTAGTTTCCGATTCTTCACTGACATCAACAAACTCTGTTTTTGGCACTAATGGAGCGGGAGTTATTCCTGCTCCATCAGTGCCATGCTGGAAGTCTTCATGTTTTATCAACTGTTCCTGTATTCATAACTGTGCTGCAGTCTGGACAATCTTGATGGTGTGGAGACATCCTTTGTTTGTCATGGCTGACATGTAAATACTCGCCTTGTGTATTGCCCGTAGCCATGTTTGATCCTCCATGCACTGTGGACACTGCAAATACATATGACCTGTTTAGATGTAAGTTTTTGTTAAATGATAACTATGCTGGGGCAGTTTAAAATTACAGTTAAGACTGCTCGTGTACAGTAAGATTTTTATTGGGCCTTCATGCACACATCCACTTAAGAGGGTACCCTCTGACCATGTTGTTTACAGGATATTTACGTCTCCAGTATGAGTCTTGTACATGACACTGGCACAAATTGTCTTTTTTTTTTATTTTTCTAATTGAACTGTCAAATCTTAAAATCATTAAACTAAATTTCTAATGTATGTAGTATATTCATTTAATTTAACATTTATTATGTAAGTAGGTAGATATTATATGTATTTATAGTGTATGTATTACATAAAGTAATATTTTATTATATATTTTAATATTTTATTTAACTGTATATTTGTTTATGTATTAATAGTTGTAGCACTTCAGCTGCCCGCTAACGAAATGCTTTCTCACTGTACTGGGTTGACTGGAAGAGATCTCTGTCAGAGATAAGTCCACCCTTGCTCACAACATTTATAAATAGATTTTAAATAAAACTTACAAGTGCAATAATATATATATATATATATATATATATATATATATATATATATATATATATATATATATATATATATATATATATATATATATATATATATATATATATATATATATATATATATATATATATATATAAATAACCGATTGCCAGAGAAGGAAAATAAAAGAGAATAGATAGACTGCGGCAGGTTTAAGTCTACAAATAATATGTATCGGTCTAGTGGCCGGTATTACCTTTGTTATTATCGAATCAGAGAAATAAAGTACACACAAAATGCACAAGGAATAAACAGTACAGTCTTTGGTATAATAATATATAAGAATTCATAAGAAACTTTTATAAACAAATTTGTTATTGTTATGAGAACACTTGAGTAATTTCTATACAACTTTTTATGTATTTGGTCAGGAAATATCATGCCAACGTTTAGTTAAATAAGAAAATCACAATAGTGCCAACTAACATTAATACTGTTAAATGTGATGCAAATAACTGCTATCTAAACTATTTTTGTCAGTTTTAGCTTTTTATTTCGTATTTTTTCTTATTGTGGCGTGAAAATTAAGTCTATATATATAATTAATACTAATTCTATTAGGAGGTCTACTCTAGAAATTGATCAGATATTACGATTAAGTGTTGAAAACTTGTGTTTACTATAAATAATATTACGAAGTTAAGAGTTCAAGGTAATATTGTATAAAATAATAAATATATTTAAGAATGTTCTTTTTGTTTTATTTTTGCTAAAAATATATTATTCGGAACATGCAATTTGAATAAAATGTATATATTTTTTTTATCGCATGATTCGCGTTTCTACTATCAAACTAAAGTATAATTACAACCAACACAATCAGAAAACGGAGGTTTTTGGTGTAGATTGGTTAGATATTCCTGACCAAGTGGTTTTACATAACTTTTATGAAGTGTATACTCTTATCTCTTGGTTATATGCTCTTTGGTTGTTTTAAAATTCGTCCAAAATGAGCAGACAAAGAGCATGGCACATACAGCCTAGTAATAAGAAAGAAATTTGTACTTTAGTGATTTGTCATTCCAAAAGGAGGTCGACCAACTAAAGAGCTGAAGCCATCGATAATTATCGGTTAAACTGTCAATAATAATATTATGCTACAATGTCAATTCTATTCTTTATATATTTATTAATATTTCTAAGTTACACAATGTATTACAGGATATTTCTTTTCTTACAATTACCAGACAGCAACCAAAGAGCATCATTCTACATACATCAAACATAGACTAATAAAGTTGCCATATTAAAAAATGTGTGGATTGCTTTATCAACATTTCTTTCTTACCTCACTGTAGATTTGATTGTTCAACGACTCAAATTTGACCCTTTGCATCTTGAAAGTTCACAGGACATAAATAAATCAATTTGAAATACTTATTGGTGAAAAAACAGAAACAATATTGTACTCGTTTGTTTATTATTCGACTTATCTTTCACAATAATATAACACGTAAATATTGTTAAGAATGTATAAGTTTATGCTTTTGCCTACTCTCAGTCTATGGTAATTGTAATGTCCAGGAAATACGGGAGCACTCAATTAAACAACCTCAGTTGATACTCCAGGTTTTTAATACTACCTTCCGAACTTTTATTACAAAAGTACCTTCACTACAGTAATATAATAATATATAGATATTGTCTGTGGAATATAAGTGAATAAAGAAACAGCATTATAAAATTATAAGTTATTTTATTATAAATAAATATCCACAATAACAAATATAAACAATAAACAATTCAGTCTCAATTTAAAAGTTTTTCCACGAGAAGTATAATATATACAAGTGAAGTAATGGCTGTTATTGGCGGGAGCTCACAACACATGTTGATTTATGTCAGGAATGTTATTAACTAAAAATCTACCGCAATGCTGCGCCCGCCGACGAGCTCTAGGCTGATCAGCCTTCAAGAAAGAATCTTGGCAGAGAACTAGCGAGCTTTAGTTCAAGCCTTACAACAAATGAGTGACGCATGGCTAAGGCAAAGTCAATTTCTTTCAGATTTAATTAAAAAAATAAAGCTTCAGTAGAGCATTTTTATTTCAACTTAATTTATTTATTCATTTAGAATAGGAATACTTTTTAAGTAAACTTACAAATGTATTTAAAGTCACTATTTATGATTACACCATCCATTCGGAATGCATTTCAGCTGAGAACAGGCAAGAAACTCAACTGTTGCTTTTTTAAACAAAAGGAAATTGTAAAATTAAAATTTGTATAAATACAGACTGTCAAACAGCACTAAAGTCATTTAAAATTAAATTAATATAGTAATTAAACGACATCAAAACCTATTTATCTAGTGTCGCATTTATCATTAAAAAAAATAACAACAAAATGCGGCAAATAAAAACTTATTTATTATAACGGACTTATAAATTTAATTAAATTTAAAATTAGTAAAAATAGTTAATGTAAATAATATAATAAGTACAGGTAAAAGTTAGTAAAGTAAAAAATTTGAAAAAGTAAGTATTTTATTTTATTTATTAGGCGCACATAACAGAAGTTTACAAATACAAACATAGATTATAACATGCAAGTACATTAATGTATTGATCAGGTAAACTTGCCACAACATGTGCGCACAGCACGATCCAATAATAAATGCGACTGCAACGAAACCATTCGGTTGCAACTATTAGTGAAAAAAATTAAACATATATAAAAAGAAACATAAACATAAATAAAGTTAAATAAAAAAACAAAACAAAACTATATAAGAAATTTCTAAATATTACATTATTTTATACAATTGTCTGCGAAATTGATTATAATCGAGTCCAAATATGTCAAGGTCATTTTGATGAGCGTCATTATATGATCTACGCATATTGGCTATAGGGTTATTTAAAGAAACATTATTTCTATAAAGAGGCACAGTAAAAGTACGTCGAAGAGGAATTCGGCCATTCCTACTAATATTAATTAATTCTAAAAGTTGGGGACAATCCACAATTGAGTTTACAATCTGATAGAGATTCAGTAATTCTTTTGTTTATCTTCTTTTATTATTTTTAACATAGTGAAATGGCTACGTTACACTAGTCATTATAACATAAATATATCATGTAATATTAACAATAAAAAAGTACACAATTTCAATGAAACAATCATAAATATGAAACTTCTGGGGGGGAAAGGGATTGTTAGTAATGGAGACTGAGAATCCCATTGCTAGTGATATACCCAACCAGGTCGACCTCCTCGCGGTTCTCCCTGGAAACTATCATGGTTAATTCCTGATGAATTCATCATGATGGGCTAACTGGCCTGTTTTCATTCTCATCTATCACCCTTCACTGGTGCTCCGCCAGCGTATCCCGTTAGCGCAGGCGGGGACACCATACCATTTTCACCCATAAAAAAAAATTTTGAAACTTGTAAATAAAGTAATTTTTTTTTTTTTTTACAACACAGGGGGCAAACGAGCATGCGGCTCACCTGATGGTAAGTGACTACCGCCGCCCATGATCACCCACAACACCAGCGGCATTGCAGGTGTGCTGCCGGCCTTTTAAAAAGGAATATACTCTTTTCTTGAAGGTTATGTTGTCGTATCGGTTCGGAAATACTGCTAAGTAATAATAAGTTTATATAAATGACATTTATATATATTCCATACTGCATACTAATATTATAAATGCAAAAGCATGTCTGCTTGTTTAAATTTAATTTGCTCTACTATGAAATAGATGTACATTTTATTACATAATTAATATTTAATGTATGATTAGGCAAAAAAGTAACAATAAAAATGGAAACTACATAATATAAACTTGTTCTCAGCTTCTTGCCAAATTTCATTCTCGATTGACCTGTACACTATCCCCGTAGTTACATCAGCCCAATGTCCGTGCCGTTCCGTAGAACTGTTCTTGGTGGCAACTCCACTGTACTGTCTTTGCAAGCTGTTGAATGATTGCAGGCAACACTTGGATATTCACTTCGATACAGAAGGGGATTTCTATAGGAAAGCATCGCAGTTAATTTGAACAGCTAAAACTTATGTGAAGCAATCTATTTAAATCTATTGAATTTAAAAAGCTATACCAATGTATGTCACATACCTCAAGAGTTTGTTATGCCATATTATTGTTTATTTGTTAATTAGCATGCTGTGTTCCCTTTAAAATGATTGTACACTAAGTGTAAGTAGACAGTAATTTTAATATTTTAATTTTCCATTATTTCTGCCTACCCTAATGGGAGACAGGCGTGACAGATATGTATGTATGTATGTATGTATGTATGTATGTAATTTTAATATTAAATCTTATCAGTGTAACAATTGCTAGGAGACCAAATAAAGATAAAAAAAATTAAATAAAAAAAAGTACAAAAAACATTATTCGCTCGCTACATGGTAAAATAACATGTTACATATACAAGTAGGTACATAACATGCAGCACCCAATAGAGGTATGCAAATGTTAAACTGTATTTAGTCTCTGCATTATATTACAAATATACTTAATATATTATATTACACTCATACTTTATGCGTGTTGTTCCATTACCTTCTATTTATAAGAAGCTGCTGACAGTGTAAATTGAGTGAGACTACTGCATTTTCTTTCCTGCTTCTTCGATCTGTGAGATGGTATAGATGAATATGCATATCACAAATAAGACAGCAATCAGTGGCTTTTGATATTATTGTGAGAGTCCAAAGGTTTACATTATTAGAAGGGTTCTAAAGTCACCTGAAAAAAAAAACAAGAAATAATTTTCATAAATTTTTTTTTATATACAACTTAGAATGGCAAACAAGCTGACGGCCCACCTGATGGAAAGTGGTAACTGTCGCCTATACACATGAGCAGTACCGTGGACATAACAGAGTATACTGTTTCGCCCATGATACCCCCCCATGCGTTGCTATTCCTGAGCTACACCTATACTCAGGTGTGATTCCTCTGTACCCTGAAATTCACTGCCATATCCCACCCTTCAAACCGTAACACAGCCATGCAAATATAACTGCTTCACGGTTGAAACACGAATGGGACAGAGGTACCCAAGCAATCGACTTGTACAAAGTCTCCCTCTGGTACTACATATGTATATCTAATGACCACATCATGAGGGTCGTAAGCTTTACAATCATGATTGTGAAAGGGATTATTCCTTTTGTCAGCCTGAACTGTATTAGTAACTTAATTTAACAACAATAAATTGACATGAATAAGTAACTTATTTTTTTTTGATGGGTGAAAATGGTATGGTAACCCCGCCTGCGCTAACGGGATACGCTGGTGGAACACCAGTGAAGGGTGATAGATGAGAATGAAAACAGGCCAGTTAGCACATCATGTTGAATTCATCAGGAATTAACCATGATAGTTTCCAGGGGGAACCGCGAGAAGGTCGACCTGGTTGGGTATATTGCTAGCAATGGGATTCTCAATCTCCATTACTAACAATCCCTTTCTCCCCTAAGTAACTTATTGCATGGGTAATCGAGTCAAATTGAGTAGTTTATAATATTTTAACACTTAATTATTTCTTTACATTATATTTTGTGGAAATCTTGTATATTTCTGGACAATTATAAATTATACTGGATGCTGATGGTTGAGAGATTAAAGTATCTAAATTATTTCCAATAAGTTTTTGGTAACTTTTATTAGTCAAAAATGACAAAGTACATAATATCTACAAAAAAAATTGATCATTATTTAGAAATAAGTAATTAAAAAATAAAAAATATATATATATATATATATATATATATATATATATATATATATATATATATATATATATAAAATTTCTTTGAGATCACTGCCAGCTGGTAGGATTATCATTGTTTTATTTAGATAATAATATTAAACAGTAAAGTTGAATTTACAAACCTTTAGCCCGAGTGATAAACCTCCGGAACGGCGGCACACAGGCGTATATGGTGCCAATTCAATTCTAACATATTAAATAGGTCTTCAGACAGTCTAATGACGAATATAATACACGTCATATAAAATTGTGCTTGCATTTCGCAACTGTCTCTTGTTAGTCGTAATTTTTTGTAATTATCTTCTTTAATTTCTTTCAACAAATGGATCATTACACATAAACGAACAGCCATTGTTTTTAAACACAAATTGATAATTTGAATGCAAATAAATATCACAGAATTCGAGAAACAAATAAATTTATTATTGGAATACTATGTAAACAGTGTAGAAAACAGAGCTTTTGATTTTGACATAAGATATATGAGGCCGTAGATTAGGCTGTCGGCGAAGACGAGGCTGACTTTTGTTAGTGAATACCAAATACTATGACAAAATGTCAAATCGCACAGCTTTGAGTAGTTCCCGTTTATGCCGCTCGTCTTTGCTAACTTTAGCGCTAGTGTCGCGTGTTAGGAATTACTGAATAACATTTCATTATTTCATCGGGGTCGACATCGACCGGTCGTTGAGAATGGTGCCGCAGGTGACGAGTGCCATAGCGCAGCCTCGCGCGGCGCGCGCCTTTCTCCGACCGGTGCTCACTTCCAGGTTGCCGTTACGGACGCGGGTCTCTATCTATAAGACCTACGTCCGTTCACGGTTAACATATGCCGCACCCGCTTGGTACGCACTGTGCAGTATGTATGGGCCTGCAGCCGGCGCCTAAGCGTCGGAGACAACGCTTAGGCGCCGGCTGCAGGCCCAGCAGAACATCGCTCTTCGTTTGTGCACGGGAGCGGGCAGATACGTCCGCAACGACGTTATCGCCCGCGGCTTAGGGGTCCCAACGGTGGAGGAGTTCGTTGTCGGCATGGCGAGCAAAATGTTCGCCCGTGCCGACGGCGGACACCATCAACACTTGAGGGGCCTCGCGCCGCTGTATGCGCGTCCGCCGGACGGCCGTCCCACGCCTAGGGACCTCCTGTGCACAGGCGAATAGTGATCGCGATTGCCTCGTCTATCAGTACGACGACTCCACCTACCCTTTTTCCCCATTTCCCTTCTTCTTTCTCATTCCCTCCTCTCGCCCGTTCCAAGTGTGTAATTATATCCGAATCCGGGGGAGGGCCGACACACTTCTTGTGTCGACCCTTACTAACAACTATTATTTATTTACTAACACCTATTATATATATCTGGGAACGGGCGAGAGGGGAGAATAATAATTATAAAAACATTATATATTATTAAAATGGAAAAAAAAAATAATAATAATAACAAAAAAAAAAAAAAAATACATATATATACAATCAAGAAAGAAGAAGAGGCCACACATTAAAAGAAGACACCACGCCGGCATACACAGACCACCAGTGTATGCCGGCTCAAGAACCCAGCGACCCGGAGGTAGTTGCCTCCGGAGATGCAGCCGGGGTAGAGGGGTTTACCCCGAGACCCCTACCTCACCCGCCTACACTATAAAAGGCGGGCAAGAAGACCCGATGATGATGATGATTATTTCATCGCTGCGTCAAGGCTGATGTCTAGGCTGTTTGCTTAGAGAATAGCACTGCAGTAAGTACATATCAATAAGTGTGTTAAATGTGATTTTTGCGTAAAATATTTATTACATACATCACAACTATATAGCGTGAATTTAAAGGGTACAGAGGAATAACACCTGAGTCCTCAGGAATGGCAACGCATGGGGGGTATCATGGGCGAAACAGTATACTCTGTTATGTCCATAGTACTGTTCATGTCTATAGGTGACGGTTACCAATTGCCATCAGGTGGACCGTCAGCTTGTTTGCCATTTTAAGTTGTATAAAAAAAAATGGCCTATCACCAGAATGTATCGACAAATGCTGTGTTAAACTTGCTCTTTGGCCAAATACATATTATGTATACATTTAACAAGGCTTGTCACCAGTATGTTTCAACAATTGCTTTGTTAAATATGACTTTCTCTAAAATATTTATTACATACATCACAACTATGTGGTTTATGACCACTGTGTATCAACTAATACTGCGTTAAATTTGTTTTTTTTTTTAACATTTACTACATATATCACAACTATATAGCTTCTCACCAGTATGTATCAACGAATGCTGCGTTAAATTTGCTTTTTGGTTAAAACTTTACTACATACATCACAACTATGTGGTTTATGACCACTGTGTATCAACAAATGCTGGGTTAAATTTGATTTTTGGTTAAAACGTTTACTACATACATCACAACTGTATGGCTTCTTACCAGTATGTATTAAATAATGTCGTGTTAAATGTGCTTTTTGACTAAAAGATTTATTACATATATCACAACTATATGGCTTTTCATTAGACGAATATATTTCCTGTTCAGTATGGACTGTCATATGGTATTTCAGTGTATTGTAGGACTCGAATGTCTTACTGCATACCTCACATGAATGAACTTTATCACATGATATTCTTCTTTTCTGGTGTTCAGATTTAAAGACATTATGCTCCTTATCCTCATTGTTAAGAACTCGTTCAGAACCAGGTTTTGAATGTTCAGTAGTTCCAAAGATGGTCACTCCTTGTGCAACTGTGGGTCCTATAACCGACTCACTCTTTATTTCATTATCTTCATACGACTTCAAGGAATCACGTGCCTCATCACAGCATATTATTTGATTAGCTTCCAATTCTTCAGTCACAGTGTTTACAACTTCCGCTCCGTCTATGCCATGCTGAAAATCATCTTGTTCAATCAACAGTTCCTGTGTGGTATTCATAACTGTGCAGCAGTCTGGACGCTTTTTATGCTGTAGAATCATCTGCTGTTTGGTATTATGGGAGACATGCAAATTTTCACCTTGTTTATTACTCGTAGCCATGTTTGATCTGTCATGCACTGTGGACACTGGAAATACATATGACCTGTTATACATATGAAAAATAACAACCAATTTCCAGAGAAGGAAAATAAAACAAAATAGGTAACTGCCGCTGGTTTAAGTCTACAAATAACATGTATCGGTCTAGTGGCCGGTATTACCTTTGTTATAATCGAGTCAGAGAAATAAAGCACACACAAAATGCACAAGGAATAAACAGTACAATATGTCGAACAAGTCAGCAGTGTAGTAAGATTAGAGAGGCTATGACTATGTCTGAAACTGAAATTCTTCGTTCTAAGGACAGGTAGAAAACTCTTGTATAGATATGTGTATCTGTATCTACCCTACAGAATTTTTTGCCAATGAAAAGGACTCGTATGTGTGTTGCGGATTTTTAAGTATTGCTACTTAATATATATATATATATATATATATATATATATATATATATATATATATATATATATATATATAATATATATATATATATATATAAATATATACATATATATTATATATATATATATCATTTTGCATTGTCATCGAACTTGAATGCGTATGAAATATTTATGTAAATTCGAAGATTATGCATCGATAGTGTGTTAGCAAGTGTTAGAAAGAATTAAATAAAAAATGAACCAGTATGAACGGAAAGGATATATAAAAAGCAAATTAAATAAAAACATGTAAAAATATATATTATGCTTGTAAATAATCTTTATACCAATATGTGTACAAATATTATTTGTTTCTTAGTATTAGCAGTACTTAAAACAGTGAAAAAATCAATCTTCTAAATGGACCGCATCAAAAGATATGGCCCTTTGTGTTCCATTTATATCACATATTTTGATATTCGCAAAGAGAAACAAAACCTATAGGATACTTCCGTTGACCTAAAATCATAAAATTTGGCAAGAATCAAAGTCATGTAGCACAAATAAAGGAAAAAATCTGAAAATCGTTACTTACATTATTTTTAAACTCCTTTCTCAAACCATCCCCATTTGCTTAATATTTCATTCACTGTCCAAGAGCATACCTCAAGCAATGCATGAAATGTGCGTTTTATGTAAATTGTTGTTAGGCTTCTGTGTATCTCATTATATTTTCAGAAACTTTCAAATAAATTAAGGTTAACATTGCATGTGGGGCCCAATGTTAAAAATATTTCTTTACAAGTAGTACATTCATTACGTTGTATATTTTTTTACATATAAACCAACAGACATATGGCATGCCTGAACTTCACCAGATGCCTGCTCTATTGCAGCTGTTGCGCTAGTGATTAGTGGTTCTAGATCTACAGTAGAACACTCGCTGGAATGCACATCTGATTTTATTCCGGTTCAATTATTGTATCCTATGTATTTATGTAAAAAAACTTAAATAGAAGTAAACACTTTAAATAGTAGTGATAAAAATAAATATGTTAATAAAAAATATATGAAATTTAATAAAAATAAAAAAATGAATTTATGTACTAAATATCTATTAATTATACGTAAAGTAAATATACCGCTCAATATTTGTTTTTATAGATTTTGAAATTCGGTGGAATGATACTACTCCATTTTGAAAAGCACATATTCTATGGATATCCGTAGACATGGCTGATAACTGTATATTTTGCTGTTGATCCAACTAATCTCCATTGTACTATTATGAGTATGGTTTGATATCCACCAAAATACCAACAAATGGTTGTCGCGAGTAAGCTCTAGTGTACAACTATGATCCGATATACAAAATACAAAAGTCTGATATTCAGTACGAGAAATAAAACTGATTAAAAGTGGGAAAAGATTTAAAAAGTATATATAAATTAAAAAAGAATGATATACAATGACAGTAGGGCATGGGGTTGCCACATGATCACGAGCAATGCACTAAATCTATGACGATTTTTAATTTATTAAACATTTACATTGTCCCTATATCATAATAGTGATAAAATGTTTAAAAAATATTACTATGAATATAATAGAATGAATATTTATTTTTTATTATTAGTAAAACATTTTACAAACAATAATAATTCAATATTCATACATCCCTTTTAATTAGCAATACTTAAAAATCCGCAACGCACACACAAACCTTCTTCATTGATAAAAATTTTTGTAGGGTAGATATAAGCTCCTGGTCAAATCACTAACATATATATATATCAATCTGTATAAGAGTTTCCTACCTGTCCTTAGACCAAAGATTTCTTTTCTTTTTAATCTTACTACACTGCTGACTTGCTTGACATATTGTGCTGTTTATTCCTCGTGCATTTCGTGTGTGCTTTATTTCTCCGACTCGATAAATACAAAGGTAATACTGGCCACATCGATACTTGTTATTTGTAGACTTAAACCTGCAGCAATCTTCCTATTCTGTTTTATTTTCCTTCTCTGGCAATTGGTTGTTATGTTAACGACCACTTGTGACAGTGGCATATACAAGAGACTCGTACTGGAGACGTAAAATGTCTAGCAAATTTCAAAATGTGTGTTTATGATATCACAACACGGTCAGAGGGTATCCTCTTTAATAGACGCCACGCGACCTCAGAACTGTCGTACTAGAAGTCCATGAAGGGCCAAAGAACATCGAACTGTATATCAGAAGTCTAACTATAATTTTAAACTGCCTCAGCATGGTTATCATATAATAAAAACTTACTTATAGCTAAACAGATCATATGTATTCGCAGTGTCCACAGTACATGGCAGATCAAACAAGGCTATGGACAATACACAAAGTAAGACTTTGCATGTCTCCGACAACACCAAACAGCGGATGACTCCACACAGTTGTGATGTATGTAGTAAATGTTTTAGTCATAAACGTTATTTAAAGCAGCATATGTTGATACATAGTGGTGATAAGCCATATACTTGTAATATATGTAAAAAAAGTTTTAGACAGAAAGGAAATTTAACAAAACATGTTTTGATACATACTAATGTAAAATCATATTGTTGTGATGTATGTAATAAATGTTTTAACAGAAAGTCAACATTGCAACGGCATTTGATTATACATACTGGTGACAAACCATATAGTTGTGAAGTATGTAGTAAATGTTTTAACAAAAAATCAACATTGCAACGGCATATGTTGATACATACTGGTGATAAGCCATATAGTTGTGATGTATGTAGTAAATGTTTTAACAGAAAATCAAAATTGCAACAGCATTTGTTGATACATACTGGTAATAAGCCATATAGTTGTGATGTATGTAGTAAATGTTTTAAACAAAAATCTACATTGCAACGGCATTTGTTGTTACATACAGGTGAGAAGCTATATACTTGTGATGTATGTAATAAATGTTTTAACAGAAAATCAACATTGGAACAGCATTTGATTATACATACTGGTGATAAGCCATATACTTGTGATGTATGTAATAAAAGTTTTAAAATAAAATTGACATTGCAACGGCACGTGCTGATACATACTGGTGATAAGCCATATAGTTGTGATGTATGTAGTAAATGTTTTAAAAGAAAGTCAACACTGCGACAGCATCTGATTATACATACTGGTGATAAGCCATATACTTGTGATGTGTGTAATAAATGTTTTAACAGAAAATCAATATTGCAACGCCATTTATCGATACATAGAGGTGATAAGCCGTATAGTTGTGATGTATGTAGTAAATGTTTTACCAGGAAATTTACATTGCAACAGCATTTGTTAATACATACAGGCGAGAAGCCATATAGTTGTGATATATGTAATAAATATTTTAGCAATAAATGTTATTTAAAGCAGCATTTGTTGATACATAGTGGTGAAAAGCCATATACTTGTGATATATGTAATAAATGTTTTAGATACAAAGGAAATTTAACAACACATGTATTGATACATACTAATGATAAATCATATTGTTGCGATGTATGTCATAAAAGTTTTAAATTAAAATTAACATTACAACGGCATATGCGGATACATACTGGTGATAAGCCATATAGATGTGATGTATGTAATAAATATTTTAACCAAAAATCAATATTAAAACGGCATATGTTGGTACATACTGGTGATAAGTCATATACTTGTGATGTATGTAATAAAAGTTTTAAAATAAAATTGACATTGCAACGGCACATGCTGATACATACTGGTGATAAGCCATATAGTTGTGATGTATGTAGTAAATGTTTTAACAGAAAGTCAACACTGCAACGGCATTTGTCGAAACACTGATGACGAGCCGTATTAAATGTATAATTCATGTAGGTGTAAGTATTTATAAGACAAGATAATATTCAGAGGTACAAACAGCAATACCTTAAGTAACAAGCATTATGTTTTACATATCACGTGATTATATATATTGTAGAAAGTAGTAATGTCATTGTACATAATATGTAGATGTGTGTATACGAGGGGAAGTCAAAAAGTTCGCGGAATGAGGGGAAAGGGAGTTGAAATTAAACATGAAGCTATTTTTCCCTATCAATGTATTCTCCCTTAACTTTAATACATTTTTCGGATCTCTCATTTAATTTCTTTATGAAATTGCAGACTTGACTTTTTCATCGTCGCCATTTTTTTTCCACGCAGCTTCTTTTTAATTTTTGGGAATAAATAATAGTCACTGGGGACCAAGTCTGGACTGTAAGATTGATGGTCTAAGTTTTCAAACACGTAGATAACATAAGTAGCAGCATAGCACGTGTGGAAGGGAGCGTTGTCGTGCAAAAGGAGCCCATCTTTTGACAGATTTCCTCTTCTTTTTTTCTTGTCAGCTTCTTCATCATTAGTCATGATCTTTCTGGGCGATTGAGATGCTTTAAACTTCTTTGGGGAAGTCGTACCTTTTTTATGCCACTGCATCGACTCTTGCTTTCACTCAGGTTCATAGTGGTGAACCCAGGTCTCATCTCCAGTAACAATCCGGGTCATAACTTCTTCCCTACTCTCTTCACAGAGCTCCAAAAAACTAGCGAGAACACTTGACACGCTCACTTTTAATGGGATAACCCATCCAAAAAAAGATTTATCTTTGCTGTTAAAATAGGCCCAAATTGCAGACTTGACTTCGCCAATATTTTTTCCACGCAGCTCTTTTTTAATTTTTTTAAATAAATAATAGTCGCTGGGGGCCAAGTTTGGACTGTAAGATTGGTGGTCTAAGTTTTCAAACACGTATTGGTGGATGACATAAGTAGCAACATGGCACGTGTGGGAGGGAGCGTTGTCGTGCAAAAGGAGCACATCTTTTGACAGCTTTCTTCTTCTTTTTTCCTTGGCAGCTTCTTCATCAGTCGTCATGATCTTTCTGGGCGATTGTGACGTTTTAAACTTCTTCGGAGAAGTCGTGCCTTTTTTATGCCACTGCATCGACTCTTGCTTCCACTCAGGTTCATAATGGTGAACTCAGGTCTCATCTCCAGTAACAATCCGGGTCATAACTTCTTCCTTGCTCTCTCCACAGAGCTCCAAAAAACTAGCGAGAACACTCGACACGCTCAGTTTTTAAAGTGGCATGAGCATTTTTAGAACCATCTTGCATTGACCTTAGTCATGCCAAGATGATGATGTAGAATATTTAAAATACGTGTATCGTATACTCCAACCATTGCTGCAAGTTGCTTTGTATTTAGCCGGGTATCTTCTAATACAAGTTTTTTTACTTTTGCGACGATTTTCGGTGTGATGGCCTCAATTGGTCGTTCGGAATAGGGGTTATCTTCAATGGACTCTCTTCCTTGTTTGAAAAGACCATGACACTTGTAAACCATGGTTTTACCAGGGGCAGAGTCCACGTAAACTGTTAACAGCTCTTGAAAAATCGTCTAAGCGGATTTTCCTTGCTTGGTGAAGAACTTAATAACGGCGTGGTTTCAATTTTCTCCATACTCGCTGAATTCTTTCAGATTCACTTGTTTGCAGATAGATAACTCAAAAGTTAATGACCCGATTTGGTTCAAACTTGATATATATACTCTCAATGAGATGCTTAACAAGTAGCTACTTGGATGAGTAAATCAACCCCCACCAACCCCTCCATTCCGCGAACTTTTTAACCTCCCCTCGTAACGTGACATAGTTTTGATCAATTTATTATTGTATAATATGAAACATATATGGTATACATATATGGTTTTCCTTATTATTAAGTGAAAATTATTTCATTTCCTCTGGACAGAAAAGGCGTAATTGCTATTTTTTGCTAATACGACTGTTTTGTTCAGAATTTTACAATCTAAGTATCTGTATATTTATTTATTAATAAATGTAATAATTTATAAATTAAAATTCATTTAGACCTCATTTTTTTATTTTTTGAAAAATGTCAACGCCAATTTTGTCTTGCATTTGTTTCGTTTGTGGCTTATCATAATCCTTTTAAACAGTGGGAAGGGATTGTTAGTAATGGAGTCTAGCATTGCCATTGCTAGCAATATACTCTATCAGGTTGATTTCCACGCGGTTCCGCCTTGAAACTGTATTGGTTAATTTTTATTTACTCACGATGGATTGACACTCACTGACATGCTTTGATCCTCACCTATCATCCCTCACTGACAGGCAGGGCTAGCATTCCATCGTCACACATTAAGAAATCCTATTAAACATATTCTGCCGTCTAAGTTCCTGCATAGAACACGTCATATCACATGGATATTAACGCTGGCGTCTCGCAGGGCTCTGTGCTTTCCCCAACGCTATTTCTGCTGCATATTAATGATTTGTTAACCTTGGGTGTCATTTTTTGTTATGCAGATGACATCACTGGGGATGCCCATTGTACGGGTCGTACCAATATCCCTCGGTCCATCGTGGAAGATAATAGTGAACAGCTTATGTCTGAAATCGAGAGAATTTTAACTGGAGTCTCTCGGAGATCGGGGACGAGACCAGAGGGAGACTTTGTACAAAAGTCGATTGCTTGGGTACCTCTGTCTCATTCGTGTTTCAACCGTGAAGCAGTTGTGTTTAGATGGCTGCGTTTCGGTTTGAAGGGTGGGATATGGCGTGAAGTTACTGGGTACAGAGGAATAACACCTGAGTCCTCAGTAATGGCAACGCATGGGGGGTATCATGAGCGAAACAGTCTACTCTGTTATGTCCATGGTACTGCTCATGTCTATAGGCGACGGTTACCACTTTCCATCAGGGTGGGGCGTTAGCTTGTTTGCCATTCTAAGTTGTATAAAAAAAAAACTTTGTCCAGTTTAACCCTGCTAATACAAGCTTGCGCATTCACCGCTAAAAAACCCATTTGCTGTGGCCCCACATTTCCAGTACACTTCTCTTACCATCTCTAAAAGCACTGGGATCCTTGGTATCGACATCTCTAGTGACGTATAGTTCCGTGGCCACTTCGAAGATAAGGTAATATCAAATAATACTAAATCTTTATTTCACTCTTTGTTACAATATAGTGTGAAAACCCTAACTCCTAAGATAGGTATAAAAAAACCTGTGTTTCAGGAGTTAGTGCCTCTTCCGTATGTTGTTGTGTTACATTTTTAGTGTAACAAATAATGTGAAACAGAAAAATACTAAAAACATAAACAAAATCTACAAGGGAGCCAGTAGTTGGAAAAACAATGATTTATGGGATCAGTGAAATTGTGTGAAATCCCTTTCCCCCCAACGTAAGTATGTTAGGTGCATTAGTTTTCTCTGATAAATATTAGTTATCAATAATTGGTCACTATAAAAAATACATACTTTTAACTAACAGTCAACTTGTCTGAAGTTACTGATTTCGCAGAAAAATAAAATGTTATTGGCTGCTTACATTTTTTTTCTCACACCTGTCAACATGAACATAATCCTTTACAACCAATCCCATTTAAAACATGTATTTCGATTATCGTATCCTATGCGTCTATGTGAAACACCTTAAATAGAAGTAAACACAATACTTTGCCTATTGAAAAAATTGCCATGTTACTAAAAAAATTATATAAAACTATATTAATAGTATAAAAATTGAAATTTATCTAATAAATACCTATCAATTATACGTTAAAATGACCATACCGTCCAATATTTGTTTTTCCAAGTTTAGGAATGGATATGGCTGATAACTGTATAGTACATTCTGTTATTAATGCAAAGAATCTCCATTGTAGCACTACGATCTAAGATCTAGCAAAATGCTAACAAAAGGTTGTCGCAAGTAAGCTCCAGCGTGCAACTATGACCCGATTTAGGATAAAAGTTAAAAATACTCCCAATACTATCGTAATTATTTAGTTAAAATGAGCGTACAATCGACACGGGTGTAAACTAATACAGAATAATCGCGACTGGCTATGACCGAGCGGCAGCGGACGGTGCATTGTGCAGCGAAACGATGCGTCACCAAACTTGTTAGACGTCTCTCAGGTAAGTGCATCACAGATAGTCCGGCCAACCGCATACTACGGGTTTCGCTCGAGTATGCTTATGAATTAAAAGGACCCAGCGACCCGGAGGTCGTCGCCTCCGGAGTTGAAGCCGGGGTAGAGGGGTTTACCCCGAGGCCCCTACCTCGCCCGCCCACACTACAAGGCGGACTAAGAGAAGACCATTGATGATGATGATGATGAATTAAATTAATGTTGTACAATAATCATTGTATGTGTATATAAGTATAGCGTGTGTATATAATAAGAGTATAAATGTATATATATTTATATTATTATAGTTATATATGTGAATATAATTTAATAAAATATAAAATGTATAAATCTGTAAATATGAAATTTAAGTCACCTACACCCGATATATAAAGTACAAAAGTTTGATATCTTATACGAGAAATAAAAATTATTATAATTAGGAAAATATTTTCTTTTTTTTGAAAAAAAAGCTTCCACCGTAGAAGCAACGGTGATTTTCTGTTAATATCAGGGTTTTTTTTTTACGGGTGATAATGGTATGGTAACCCTACCCGCGCTATCGGTATACACCGGCGGGACACCAGTGAAGAATGATAGGTGAGGATGAAATAGGTCAGTTAGCTCATCGTGACTAATTCAACGAGAATTGTTCACGATGGTTTCCAGGGGGAACCACGTGGAGGTCGACCTGATAGGTCAAATCAAACTCCAAAAGAATGAGAGTTTTATTTAGTTTATGTGTTTCTACATAGGACACTGCTTCCATAATAACTATGGATTCACCAGTAAATGTTGAGGATGAAGGAGAACATTTGAAGTTGAGGACAACGTTATATTTTGGAATTCATACAGCGGCTCCAACATGATCTGATTTGTCAGTTTTAGAAGCATCTGTAAACACCAGGAGCCAGTCGTGCCATGTTTCCGCGACAATAGGGTTAGACTTCTGATTAACAGAAGGCGAATGTTTTACTAATCCAAAATCTAGAATTACATTAGGACGATAAATTAGAGAATCATAATCAAATTCGAAAAGTGGGTTACGGTATATTTTTTTAACAAGTGAGATAGGGATTTTGTACTTGGTAAAGCTCTTATGGATGGGAGGGGGTTCCTTATGGGTCCAGTAACTTGATAGGTTAGGAAAATATCTTAAAAGTATAATGTAAAGTAAAAAAATTTCTTTATTGACAGCAGGGTGTGGGGTTGCCATATGATCACAAACAATGCACTAAATTCTAAGACAATTGTTAATTTATTAAATAGTTACATTCTACCCATATCATGAGAGTGATGAAATGTTTAAAAAATATTACTATAAATATAAGAGATTTATTTATTATTAGTAAAAATTAACAAACAAAATATGATTCAATACTTCTACATCCCTTTTAGTTTATATGTATTTTTAAGTAGCAATACTTAAAAATCCGCAACGCAACACGAGCACTTTTTATTGGGCAAAAAATTCTGTAGGGTAGATACAAGCCCCTTGTCAAATCACTAACGTACACATATCTGTACAAGAGTTTCCTACCTGTCCTTAGACCAAAGATTTCGGCTTTAGACATAGTAGCTTCTATAATCTTACTACTACACTGCTGACTTGTTCGACATATTGTACTGTTTATTCCTTGTGCATTTTGTGTGTACTTTATTTCTCCGACTCGATAATAACAAAGGTAATACCGGCCACTAGAACGATACATGTCATTTGTAGACTTAAACCTGCCGCAGTCTAAGTATTCTGTTTTATTTTCCTTCTCTAGCAATCGGTTGTTATTTTTACGGCCACTTGTAGCAGTGTCATATACAAGAGACTTGAACTGAAGACGTAAATGTCCAGCAAACTTTCAGTGCGTACCCTCTTTAACCTTTCAACTGTGTTATGCGAAAGATTAGATTTATATTCCAACTAGATTCCTTGTTTAATTTCTTACACTACACTCGAATTGCATTGCAACTGTTCTATGAGAAATAAAATGGGGTCACCTATAAATTACCTTTTGTTTTTCAATTATTAAAAAGCTAAGACCTTGCTGGATGTAATTTTTTTTTTACAATATTATATACTTGATAAAATAAAAATAAAATGGCTTATGTTCCAATATTTTTTTTTATACAGCACTTGTTTATAAACATGGACCAAAAAAGTCCTTCTTCAATTGACACTTAAGTGGGTCTCCTATTTCATTATTTTACGTACATTCTTGGTGTTAGGGAGAAGAGGTGGTTTATTTACAATAATTTAAGCTTATCGCCAAGTTAGTTTAGACAAAACAGTATATATGACATTATTATTTATATGTCCGCTGAGCGGAAGCGACACAGATGCGTATTTTTTGTCATTTGACACGGTTGAGAGGTAAGTAATTACGAGGGGACCTCTGAACTATCCTACCAAGACTACGTCAAAACTTGATGATGTCACAACACGATCAGTGGGTATGCTCTTTAGTGGACGCGACTTGACCTGAGAACTGTCGTACTAGGAGTGCATGAAGACCCAATGGAAATCTAACTGTCCATGAGCAGTTCAACTGTAATTTTAAACTTAGTTATAAGTTTTTGTTAAACGATAACCATGCTGGGTTATCGTTTAACAAAGTAAACTGTCTCAGAATGGTTATCATTTAACCAAAACTTACATCTAAACAGGTCATATGTATTTCCAGTGTCCACAGTGCATAGCAGATCAAACATGGCCACGAACAATACACAAGGTGAGAATTTGCATGTCTCCGACAACACCACACAGCAGATGATTCCACACCATGAAGAGTGTCCAGACTGCTGCACAGTTATGAATACCACACAGGAACCGTTGATTGAACAAGATGATGTTCGGTATGGTATAGACGGAGCGGGAGTTGTGAACACTGTGACTGAAGAATTGGAAGTTAATCAAATAATATGCTCTGATGAAACAAATGAGCTCTTGAATCTATATGAGGATTATGTAAGGGAGAAACAGTCGACTATAGAACCCACAGTTGTACAAGGAGTGACCACCTTTGGAAGGACTGTACATTTAATACCTGATTCTGAACGAGTTCCGTATAATGAAGATGAGGAGCGTAACGTCTTTAAATCTGAGCTCCAGAGGAGAAGAATATCATGTGATACAGTTTATTCATGTGAGGTATGCAGTGAGACATTCAACTCCTACAATACACTGGAATGCCATATGTCAGTCCATAATGAACAGGAAATATATTCGTCTAATGTAAAGTCATACACTTGTGATGTATGTAATAAATGTTTTAACCAAAAATCAATATTGAACCGGCATTTGTCAATACATACTAGTAAAAAGCCATATAGTTGTTATGTATGTAATAAATGTTTTAAAAGAAAATCAACATTGCAAGAGCATTTGTCAATACATACTGGTGAGAAGCCATATAGTTGTGACGTATGTCATAAATATTTTAACAAAAAATCAACATTACAACGGCATGTGATTATACATACTGGTGATAAGCCATATAGTTGTGATGTATGTAGTAAATGTTTTAATAGGAAATCAACATTGCAACAGCATATGTTCATACATAAAGGTGACAAGCCATATAGTTGTGACGTATGTAATAAATGTTTTAACATAAAATCATCATTGCAACGGCATTTGATTATACATAGTGGTTTGCAATATAGTTGTGATGTATGTAATAAATGTTTTAACAAAAAATCATTATTCCAATGGCATTTGATGATACACACTGGTGAGAAGCCATATAGTTGTGATGTATGTAATAAATGTTTTAGGCAAAAATCAAATTTAGCAAAACATTTGTTAATACATACTAGTGAGAAGCCATATAGTTGTGACGTATGTAATAAATGTTTTAGACAGAAAGCAAAGTTAGAACAACATTTGCTGTTACATACTGGTGAGAAGCCATATAATTGTGATGTATGTAATAAGTATTTTAGACATAAAGCAAATTTAACACAACATTTGTTGATACATACTGGTGATAAGCCATATAGTTGTGATATATGTAACAAATGTTTTAGACAGAAAGCAAATTTAGCACAACATTTGCTAATACATACTGGTGACAAGCCATATATTTGTGACGTATGTAATAAATGTTTTAGACAGAAAGCAAAGTTAGCACAACATTTTTTGATACATACTGGTGATAAACCACATAGGTGTGATGTATGTAATAAATGTTTTACCAGTAAATCAGCATTGAAACGGCATTTGTTAAAACATTGATGACAAGCCGTATTAAATGTATAATACATGTAAATGTATATGTAAGTATTTATAAAACAATGATAAAGTTCGGAGATACAAACAGCAATAATTATAATAATTTATTTGTTCAAATATGGGTGTTACAGATGGTACATTATTAGATTTTATTAAAATCTTCTTTTGTGAATATACTTTTAATATAAATACTGATACAATGCCGTTATTATAGTCTCATATATTACAATGTCTTAATTATAATAATAATAAAATAAAAAAAAAACAATCATTACATGAAAATTTGTCTTGTCTCTTGTATCATGGGAATGCAATGCAGTAATTTGTCGTTTGTTTCATTTTTAATACTATTTGTCATATATTCGTTTAGAGTGTAATATACTTTGTCAGTTAGTATCTTCTTCGGTTCCCTCTTAAATAGATGCAAGTGGTTAATTTTTTTTTATATATTGGGGCAATTTATTATATACTTTCAGACTTAGATTAAATTAGAGACTTAGAGATTAAATTCTATTAAAATTGCAGCTTCATAGATACAAAGAAAGTAAATGTCAAAATTTTTAATTTCTTAAAATATGGCTTGAACAACTCTGTTCCATGTATACCACATATGGAACGAACACATTTGTTTGCTTTTAAACGCTTTTCCTCTCCCTGAGGAATTTCTCTAATAGAGAATTCCGTACTTGAGTGTTGAGCCTGCAAACGTATGGTAAGCGCTTAGAAGTGCAAATTGATTAGTGACTTTTCGTAACAAGTAAATTGTATAGGAGTGCTGATTTACTTTTGTACAAATGTGATCAATCTGTGTTTTACAAGTCATATCAGCGCCAATATGGATACCTAAAAAGTTAACACAATGAATTTTCTTAATTTTACCCCCATATAATTAATATTTATATTATTTAGAATTTAGTTTTTGTTTTTAAATGTCATAAAGTTAGTTTTATCTATATTTATCTGTAGGTTGGTACTTCTAGCTAGGAGACTATGTATTGTAATGAATTATTTATATTCTATTTTTACCTTTACAAGGTTGGGATCGTCATTGGTAAAAATTGCTGTGCTGTCATCAGCATATAGAATCATTGGAGGAGTAATAGCAGATTGTTAATATAAATTAAAAATAATAATAATAATGGTCCTAACATACTTCGTTGAGGTACCCCATATATTACAGTTCATTGTTCCAACTGATATTTCGCTTCAGTGTTATTATTCGTGTCTATTCTAGTTGTTTCTGTGATTTGTTTCCTACCTTGTAAATATGATTTTACAAGGTTAAGTACATTTCCTCTGATCCCATATATCTCTAATTGTTTAACAAGGATATCATGGTCTATATGATCGAAAGCTCTAGTCATAGTCATAAATAACGCAGTTGTATTCTTCTTATTATCTGGATCACTCATATTTTTTTCTAAGAGTTTATAGATGGATAAATTTATTGACTTTCCCTTTCTAAATCCAAATTGTTCATCTGTAAGAACTTTATTTTTCTCGAAGAAACCATACATTCATAACATAGACTTGTAAATAACTGTTCCAAAATTTTGGTTATTACTTGTAGTAGTGTAATAGGTTTACAGAATTGTTTTTTTTCTCTCTCTCTATCATTCTTTATAAATATCGGTTTGATTACAGAAACGTTTAGTTTGCTGGGAAATACACCCGTTTATATACTTCTATTAATTATGTGGCTGCTTAATGGTGATACAATATTATATACATATTTAATTATTTTTGTGCAAATGCCATCATACCCTGTACTTTAGGTATCTTTTTGTGTTTTTATTATTTTTTCAATTTCATGAGAGTCAGTAGGAGCCATGAAACAAGAGATGCTGATTTCTCCTGTTATCCTTCTTGAGTATTTTACGTTAGTACTGTGTGTTCTGTATGTCATCAATAAAAAAAGTAGTTGATAGTCTGCGCAGTATCTTCAGGTTTTGAAATATGCTCTCCATTGATTATTATTTTTTTAATTTCCTCCGGGAGAATATTTTCTTTTTTAATGTTAATGATATTTCATACCGCTTTTGATTTGTTTGTCAATTTTATATTTTTTTGTTTATTATCAATGTAATCAGTAAAAGTACTTTTCTCAATTTGTTCACGTCTAGACCTGTATAAGAGTTGTCGCTTCCTTTTAGTGCATCTTTTTAGTGAGTCATTTTGCTCGATGACAGATTGTTAATTTAATTCAATTTTTTCATTGGTAAAAAAAGATCATACAGTAATTCAAATTACGTTGTGCGATTCTTCTGGCTTCTCGTTTTTATATACCGTACTAAATGACAGTGGTTTAATATAGTTTCTAAATTTAATTATATTTTATTTGCTATAATCTCTTATCCATTTATACCAATAGTTTACGAGAAAGCTCTTTTTCACTGGGCATTGCATTACTTGTGCAGTATGCTCTGATAATCCTAGATCTAGTATCGTTGTTTTAGAGTCTCTTATAATATGGGTAAAATTGTCTATATATGTTCCGCATCATAATCTGGTAGCTTCATTTATGTTCAAATTGAGATTGTATGAAATAAGCACTTGTTTAAAATCTTTCACGATAGAGTTATTTTTTAATTTATCCATATTAAAGTCTCCGCATAGTATTATTTTTGTCTTTAAACCATAATCTATTATCATAATTCAGTAACTCTACAGTTTGAAGAAGAATGTATTAATAAGATTGATTATCATTTTCGAGGGTTTGTAGATGCATACTATTATTATTTTATGTTCTGTCATTTCTATAGCACTACATTCAAACATTCCGTTGCGATTACATTGATTTACAATATTTATATTTTTATATTTTTGATTCTTATGAACTAGTTTCATTATTTATTTATTCATTCATTAGTACAAATATGTGTACATGGCGGACTTAATGCTAAAAGCATTCTCTCCCAGTCAACCGTAGGGAAGTGGCAGAATACTCGAATGCGGTACTACTAATTATTGATATACATACATACTAACATTACATATATAAACGAATAGATATATATGAATAACAAATATACATACACATATATGATATATATAATTACACATATACTATATTATACACGAATTCGAGAATAATACAAAGCACTTACTGCTCGGATAAAGATAAAAAGTGAGCGTGAACATATCCGCATTTTTTATAAGACCTGGAAAAATTTTGCAGCTAATTTTAAATTCAGCATAAATTCATCATCACTACATAGTATAAAACAAAGTCGCTATCGCTGTCTGTACGTCACTATGTATGCTTAAATCTTTAAAATTACACTACAGATTTTAAATTATTATGTATCAGTCATGATTACAACGATCAATACACTATCTGAATTATGCATTCCATCTATTCTATTCCGAAATATTTGAAGCACATCGATGCTACTAGCGTAACAAATTACGCGCGGAATAATTTTGAACTAATAGTGGCGATAATTTCAAATATTCTGTCATTTCGATAAAATTTACAGTTTATTCTAGCGGCAAGAAAAGTAGATTATACGGTAGTCGTTTGATACTAATGTTTTTATTTTATTCATCAAACTATGTTCTATGCCATCCACCGAGCGACGAGATGACCGGGACTCTCTTTACCTAATTATAGAAATAAAACAAATCCTTATATAATTAGATAATAGTTTAATAAAAAAAACTTTTACATAACTTAATTATATTGTATTTATGCGTAAGTATGGCTGCGATATGTATATACAAAAACTTACACTTTACTGGCAAATCTAATCGCCAATAATATATAAAATTATAATTTAGTACATAATCGAGCTGTTAAAGGTAACATCATAAGAACAATGACCAAAGCAGACTATAATCAACCCATGCTGATGAGGTTGCATTCTTTGTTACGTAGTTCTTATAACCACCTCATCAGAGCAGCTACGATCTTATTATTGTAGTCACAGTCATTTTGCATTGTCATCGAACTTGAATGCGTATGAAATATTTATGGAAATTCGATGATTATGCATCGATAGTGTGTTAGCAAGTGTTTGAAAGTGAATTGAAAACGAACCAGCATAAATGGAAAAGATATACAAAGATGCTTGTATACCAATATGTGTACAAGGATTATATATTTCTTAGTGTTAGTATTTTTTTTGTAACTCTGCTTTTTAGGGTTTTGTACCTCCAAAGGAAAAAACGAAACTCTTATAGGATCACTTTGATGACTGTTTTTCTTAGATATACATGGAGGTATTAAGTTGAAATTAGTATCATACACTCAGGTCTGCAATCTCTTAAAGCGGTGAAAACATCAATCTTCTAAATCAACGCAATCAAGAGATACGGCCGTTTATGTTCCACTTATATCACATATTTTGCTATTCGTAATGAGAAACAAACCCAATAGGATACTTCCTGTTGACCTAGAATCATGCAATTTGGCAATAAGCAATGTCGTATAGCACATGTAAAGGAAAAAAAATCGAAAATCGTTATTTACATTATTCTGAAACTTCTTTTTCAAAGCATCTCCATTCACTTAATATTTTATTCACTGCCCAAGAGCATACCACCCCACAATGCATGAAATGTGTTTACATTATTTAGGCTTCTGTGTATCTCATTACATTTTCAGAAACTTTTAAATAAATTAAGGTTAACATTGCATGTGGGTCCCAATGTTAAAAATATTTCTTTACAAGTAGTACATTCATTACATTGTGTAATGTTTTACATATAAATTCACAGACATATGGTAAGCCTGAACTTCACCAGACACCTGCTCTATCGCAGCTGTTGCATCAGCAATTAGTGGTTCTAGATATATAGTAGAACACTCGCTGGAATGCACATCTGACTATATTTCAGTTGACAATAAAAACTTTTTAAAATTATCATTATCATTGACTTGAAATTTGTCTTCTTCACGACACCGAGGATATCTAGAGCTTTTATGTTGACTCTTGATTGGTCACATACTGTTGCGGTCACAATCAGCCCTGTCTTTCAACTTTCATGCAATACCTGAAAGATAATATAATTGTAATATAATATGTATGTTAGGTACATTAGTTTTCTCTGAAAAAGATTAATTATCAATAATTGGATATTATAAAAAAAATATATTTTTTTAATTATGAAAACCAATGTGTCTGAAGGTACAGGTTTGCCAGAAAAATAAAATGTTACTGGCATTGTTTGTTATTATCCATTTTTT